TTTGTTAATATAAATGACCTTGATCTGCTTTCAGACAAGCTTATGCCTTGGCCTGGCATATGGTGTAAACTTGAAAATTTGGCTGGTATGTTCTGAGGATGAAGCCTGACAAAATTTGGGAAAAAATTACCTTGACCCATATTTAAGATCACAGGGGTCGATTTGTTAAAACCTTTCAACTACTTCTTCTCACGTACTAAAAGGCCTAATGGAATGATATTTTTCTAGTATGTTCCTAGGATGAAGCCTGACAAAATTTGCAAAAATGAATTACCTTGATCTATATTCAAGGTCACTGGCAACAAATTTGTTACAACATTTAAGCAAGTGCTCATGGACTTAAAAGGCCTAGAGACAGGATATTTGGCTGGTATAATTCCAAAATGAAGCCTGAAATGTTTTCGAAAAAAATGTGACGTTGTCTTATGTTCAAGGTCACAGAGGTCAAATTTGTTACAAGGGTCAAATTTGTTGAAACATTCAAACAACTTCTTCTCATGAACTCTTAGACCTAGTGACATGATAATTGGCTAATATGTTCCATGGGATAAAGCCTTAAGAAGTTTGAAAAAAGAAATGATCTTGATGTATTTTCAAGGTCACAGGGGTCAATTTTTTAAAAACAATTAAATGACTTCTTCTCATGGTCTAAAAGGCAGAGAGGCATAATATTTGGCTGGTATATATGTATATATACCAGTTGAGTGCTGCATGCCCATGGGGTTTCTTGTCTAACCCATTTTTCTCATAAACTTTATAGGCTTCAGGAATTTTATTTGAAATTAGGTTTTCCATGACAACAGGTTGATTTAACATGTTATAGAGAATTATCTGTTCTTCTCCGACTTTTTTTAGCCTACCATCAATGATGGCGAATTGATTCCTGGTTGTGCCTGTTTTGGAACTGATCAGAAAAAAATGACAGGTGACCGTCTTGGATTTTGACAAAGAAAACTTGTTATCACTATTTCAAGAGAAGTACTAGATGTATCTCTCTCAAATTTCATATAATTTCCATGTAATAATGTATTTCTCTTGTGTATTGGACAGGCATGTATATTTTCCCCAGTTTAAAATGATTCATCGGATATGATAATAGTAGATTTCTGGTATGCAGACTCTTAATAAAGACCACATATCTGGTATCAGATCACCTGTCAAGTAAAACTATATTTATGAGATGTTCCTTTGATGGTTTTTCATACATGTTAAGATGTGTATTCCTGATTGGTTAAACTTTTCTTTTAAACTGCAAATGTAGAATACGTTACTTCATAATTTTTGAACTGTTATAAATTGTTTCTAGCTATAATGTACTATGATGTCATGTAATGTAAGGTCATGTAATGTGGTGTTTTTAAAAAAAGTGTCTTTCATGTGGTGTTATACAACATGATGTCTGTTAAGGAACCCGGATATCAGTAGTGATGCTCAACAAGAATCCTGTTGTCTGTTTTTCTCAAAGATAATTTTAAAGTGAGATTACAACCAGGAGTGGCAGAACAAAGTAATACTTTTGATAGGTCTCATGGGATTGTTTATTTCATGTAAGAAATCTATCACAGGTCTCTTCTGAAAAAAAAAGAAGCAAAGCTCTGCTAGATGTTATAGAGAATTAAACATGTAGTAGAAAAAGGAGATAGGCTTAGCTAGGTAATGACAATGTTCTTACTTGTACTTTGTTGAACTATCCACAGTGTTACTAGCAGCCAAGGCTGCCTGTTGCAGCTTTAAGAATTACATGTATGTAGCAGATGTATAATATAGATGTAATGAATAATAATAAAAAAAATATGTAAATTTTCTGATATAACGTGGAATATCTGGAAACAATGTGAAAAGGTCATTATGCACATGATCCCTGTTTTGACACTTTATTCCTTGTTTAGTTTTTCATCCCTGCTATTGGACCCCGCCCCTTTGCCCTCAGAGGAAACAGACCTATGTTTACTGTAAAAATACAGTCTCATTCACCCAAGGATGCTTCTGACCAAAGGACATGGGTTGGTAAAGGTGCCTTTTGCCGTACCCATGTGCATTTGTTTTAAATGATGACCTCAATGTTGCTGTATGAATTTTGACATTGTATGAACTTTACTTCCAGGTTTTGTTTGCTATAAAGTAACTGTATGATTATGTGAGTAATGTGAACTGAGATATGAAAACAAGAAGAAATCCTCATCTCAACAATTTAAGAATAGCATTAACAATTTTCAAAATACTAACATTCGCCAAAATTACTACGATAAAGTAGATTATACTATAATGTCTGGGCTTTGGGCGGGTCCCTGACAATTTGCAATTTTTAGCTCACAGGATGAGTACAGTTTAATGGAGAAGTATCAAAACAATGCTTGATGTATACATGTAAATAAAAAAAACCAAGATTGTTGAACAATATTTTTTTTTGCAATAACAACAAAATGCCTATAAGTGTATAGCAATAAAGTGAAGAAATACCTTCTGACATTAAATCATCTTAAATATCCATAAAATGGTTCATGACTCATGGAAATCAGAGTTGTAAAAACATCTTTGGAAGAAAATAACCTGTAATTGTATGGCAATAAAGTAAAAGTGTTATTCCAGTTATTCAGGTGGAACAAATCCATACCTATCTAGGTAGATCTACATTTAAACATTTTTTTTTGCAATATAAAAACATGACATAAGTTGGATGTCAGTGTTCTTCCAAATGTGCTTGAAAAATTGATCAGATGATAAAACAAATCTAAATTCACCTCCATTGTATGTGTGATTTACGAAACTCGTAAAAAAATTTTCATTTTATCTCACCTTTATGAAAAACTCTTAAGATTCATTACATAAATTCATATATCAAACAGTAATGCATACAAGATTTTGATATACATTTAGACTTTGATTGGAATATGTTTTAGTTTCATGCTGGTATAAGAAAAACCCAACTGTAACTATATGAATATGTGAAGAAGGATGAACTATTTTGCTGTACTGGATGAAGACCAGTTTATATTACGGGGTTAAATCATTTATCAATTTTTGTACAACTGTAACAAGAAAAAACAGTTCTAATTGTTTATTTGCTCACCTGGTACGAAGGACAACTGGTTTGAGATAACTTAATATTACATAGGCATACCAACATACATACAATTAACATCAATACATTTAGAGAGTGTGCCAAGGAGAGAAAAAAAAACATATGTAAGCTATAATTGAGCTGAGGTGAGCATTGAATAACCAGGTAAGTGATCCACACCCATTGGGCCTCTTGTTTTTACTTGCAAGGTTGAAAGAAATTTTCTTAGTCTGTGTGTTACAGATTCATGTCTAAATAGTTTATTTGCTTTTGTATAAAGCAGTGACTAAACTATAAGAGCTCTTAATGCATGTCTTACTCTTCCATCTTTTTTCTTTTCAATTTTTAAACATATTACCTTGTATCTTGAAATTCTGTCAGTATGATTATTCAAATTCATGGTGACACATTAAGAATAAATACATCTGATATGTATCGTATATTATACTGTTCCTTTACAGGCAGGTAATTTATTATTGCTACAGCAGACTTATCATACCTCAGATCTTATCCAACATCTTGATACAAAGCAACAGGGCGTGTGCTGCACTATTTCATGAGAGAAAATATTTGGTTAATGTTAAGAAGAAATAGACATTCAAATTAGCAATACTTTAATGGATCTGTAAGGAACTGTATGGGATATTAAAGGACAGGACTGGGACAGGGATGAAAGGATTGATATAGGTTAAACTGTGATGTCTCAACTTCTCCTACTCCCATGGGGCATAATGAGAAAAGCTTACTTGTTGTCCCGTCATCTGGTGCTTTAGACCTCATCTGTCATTTCTGTTTTAGCCATTCTCATTGTCACTAATCCTCCTATGTAAGTAGTATTTGTTTGGAGGCAGTTACATCACTAGTGAGTAGTGTTTAGCAACTCTCTAGCGACTACAGTGAATTTTTCATTCCTCCTTCCTATTACAAGTGCATTGTCCATAGTTAGGCCTTAATGATCATATTTGAATATTATGTGACTTTAAAAATTGCTGCCATATTTTATCAACTTCTGAATGAAAATTGTAGCAGGATGTGAAGACTTTCACTTATATTTAGAGTTTACAGAAGGTCCTAAAACGTTTGACAAAAATTTCAGAATGTATTGTAAAGATTTATGGAATCAAATTAAAGTTGTAAAATTCACAAAATCTGCCAAATGGGAGTCTGCTCTAACACTAAGATATATTTGTCTTTCTCTTTAGGTCACCTGGAACTAAATCTCAAGTGACTTCTTGCAATTGCCTATTGTCCATGGGCATGTATTGACTCTCCATTAACAATTCTTACTTTTTGCTTCTCCTGAAAAACCCTTAATTAATTATAATGAAACCTATTTTGGTCAAAGGAGAATTGAAATCGTGTATCATATGTACCCCAATACACCTGAGGAATGGGCCAAAAGGCTCAACACCTAGATGTGGTTGAATTAAATACTCTTCATGGATTGAGGAGTGTGACGGTACTTTACCATGTTTGTGAATATTCATGACTCCAGGGTGTTGCATTTTCCCCAGGGGAGGGGCTTACAGTTGCATTACATAAACAATGTTATCTTTCTTTGTTAACAAGATCAGAGACATTTCTATGAGTCCTGCACAACAGCAAAATGACTACCAGGTTTTGATTGTTTTGGCAGGAGTTGAATAATGTGATTGGCGTTTAATGGAAAGAACTGGAGGATCTTTCATTTGTAGATTCCAGTTGCGCTTATTTTATCTGTGTTAAATTTTAACAGTGGTTGTTATGTAAGCTGTTAGATAATTGGATGATGCAGTTACTGTATTTAAATAATTATAATTTCACTAAGGCATATGATTTGATTCCTGGTTCAGATACAAAACCACATTCTGCATGACCCTGACTCACCATGTTGAGAATTAACTTTTGCTTTCTATAAATTGTAAGGCCATGATAGACATAAAGGTTTTTTTTGTTTCAGTGTCACCAGGTCCATTGGAGAAAAGGCTTTTGAAGTAGCTGTGAGTGAAAGTAATGGAGATCGAGTGCGTGCTTGGGTCCAAGTTTTAGATGCCAATGATGGGACTTACATTGGTCGCTTCAGACTCATCAAAAGTTACCAAGATTTAAAAATCAACATCAAATACAAAAATAAGCATGTACCAGGTTCACCATATCTCCTGAAAGGTAAATGTTTAATACCATATCTCAATAGAGGTAAGTTTTTACCTACTTTCCAGACCACCTGTCCGTAAAGGTAAGTTTTACCTACTGTACAGACCACCTGTCTATAAAAGTAAGTTTTTACCTACTGTCCAGACCACCTGTCTGTAAAGGTAAGTTTTACCTACTGTCCAGGCCACCTGTCTGTAAAGGTAAGTTTTACCTACTGTCCAGACCACCTGTCTATAAAGGTAAGTTTTACCTACTGTCCAGACCACCTGTCAATAAAGGTAAGTCTTACCTACTGTCCAGACCACCTGTCTATAAAGGTAAGTTTTACCTACTGTCCAGACCACCTGTCAATAAAGATAAGTTTTTACCTACTGTCCAGACCACCTGTCTGTAAAGGTAAGTTTTACCTACTGTACAGATCACCTGTCTATAAAGGTAAGTTTTACCTACTGTACAGACCACCTGTCTGTAAAGGTAAGTTTTACCTACTGTCCAGACCACCTGTCAATAAAGGAAAGTTTTACCTACTGTCCAGACCACCTGTCTATAAAGGTAAGTTTTACCTACTGTCCAGACCACCTGTCAATAAAGATAAGTTTTTACCTACTGTCCAGGCCACCTGTCTGTAAAGGTAAGTTTTACCTACTGTACAGATCACCTGTCTATAAAGGTAAATTTTACCTACTGTCCAGACCACCTGTCTATAAAGGTAAGTTTTACCTACTGTACAGACCACCTGTCTGTAAAAGTAAGTTTTACCTATTGTCCAGACCACCTGTCAATAAAGATAAGTTTTACCTGCTGTCCAGACCACCTGTCAATAAAGATAAGTTTTACCTACTGTCCAGACCACCTGTCTATAAAGGTAAGTTTTACCTACTGTCCAGACCACCTGTCTGTAAAGGTAAGTTTTTCTACCTACCTACTTTACTGACAATTTGTATACTAAGAATTGTTTGTACCTTTCTAAAGTCAAGCTGTTATGTCTGATGTAGACACCTGTCACATAAGCATGGAAGAATCAGCTTGAAATTTGGTCAGATCTCTGATATTTAAAAGGGTGATGCTTAATTCTAAAATGTTATTTTAATCAAGGGTAATTACTCTAAAAAAAGTCATGGTAATAGTTTTCAAGATATGCATTAATTTTTATCTTAAAATCTATATTTGCAGGTATTGTTTATAATGAAGAATGTTACTGTCCAGTAGCCAGTCTGGACAAATGGTTTGAGGTAATGGGGTGCAAAAAGTCTTATTCTCAAATAGATGAAGATTTTCTGCCTTTTCCAAAAATCAACACAGAGAGGGTAGCACAAGAAGCTATTTCTAGGTTCAGCCAAGCAGGGATGCATAGCCTTAGTCGCTACAGGATCATAGACAATAAGGTCAGTGCATTTCATTTGTTGTTTGATCACTAGCTACTTGTTAATCTAACTACCAGTAGATTAAGGACAGTTGATTAAACAAGGGCAGCATAGGGCCTATATCACACACCTGTGTTTAGCAGACTCATGGTCTTGGAGAATTTATGTTTTCACAAAATGGCTGTTGTATAGAAACAACCAATCTCTCAGTATAGTGTGTGAACAATATTGTTCCATTGTAAAACCTACCCAGTTTTGTTACTTAATGGTAACTTGTCGGAGGTTGTGTGACCCTATAGATATATTTAGACAGAGTGACATATGGCATATAAAGATTTCATTCAAAGTAGAAAAATAAATCTTCTCCCTGTTGAAAGTATTTCAGTCAGATGACGGTCTAGACTCATGGGCCTCTTGTTCAGTATTACTTACTTTAGGTGACCGTCAAGGCCATTAAGCCTCCTGTTATGTTCATGATGAACTCGGGGATTAGAAATTGTACAAGTCAATTTAAGGGTATTCTAGGTCTCATTATGAGCATGATTGGAGGTTGATATGGTTAACTGCTGGGCTGTCTATGTATACGGATGCCATTAAGATGTTTTGAATGTTTTTAGAGAAGGTCATAAGGCTTTCCCATGCACAGGTGATTGTGGACTAAATTTCAACAGCGTTTGAAAATAACAAACCACACAAAATAGTCTTATAAAAACTAATCCTTTACTTGTAAGTCCTTGAAAGGCTTTTGTATACTTCCAGGGCTTTTTGGAGTGCTTTTTAGAGCTGATAATGAACCAAGTTCCTAAATGAACCTTTTTACTTTTTTATTTAAGCAAAGTTCCCAAAATTTGCTATACACTCCTGAAAAGTTCCTTCTGGATTCACGAATTTTCTTCCTAAAGTGGATAAAAATGCCATATCACAAATTATGGAAGAAACTTTCATGTATTCCAACTTGTGTACTAGTATATGTTTTCTGGGAATACATACAACTATAAACAGATTGGATATGGTCAAAACTTTTTGTGAATTGACTGATATCTATAAATATTGCATACTGTAATATAAATTTTCCTGGGACATTTATTTTCATGGAATTCTAGGGTACTCTGAATCCATGAATTCATATAACCAGGTATGCCAGCAAAATGATAAACAGATACAAGTTGACATGGATTAGTACAAGTTAATTTTGTGAATAAGATTTATCCATGAAACCAAGTGTCAACAAAAATATTTGAGCCCCACGAACAATTATGATGATGTTACACCATAAATTTATGAAATATCTTCAGAATGTCTGGTATCCTTAAAAGAAAGTTAATTTACCGCGTAAATAAATAAAAAAAAATCTATGAAGAATACTTATGTTAACATTGTGAAACTATACAAATGGAAAAGTTATAAAACAAATAGTTTCCTTATGGGGAGTGAGATGCCAGAACAATCATGTGATGAGGTTAAGTTTAACAGTGACTTTGTCTTTTAGCATCCTTACTTGTCAAATAGGTGTCCAGATGGTGCAGTGGTAATGCATTTGCCTTTCACCTAGCCATTTAAGGTTCAATTCGCAGAATGGGCGTGAAAAGGAAATGGGTTATCGCTACCTGCCTGACCATGTGGGTTTTCCCCAGGTACTCTGGTTTCCTCCCATGATAACTTGTTGAGGTAAAATAAATGAAGTTTATATAAACAACTGATACAACACTTTTTGTTATATTGATACAGATTTACAGGAAGACTTATGGAGAACATGTGGGATTCAAGATGTTCAGTGATGCTGTTCTATTGTCTATTACAAGGAAGGTATGAATTAACCTCTGACCTCTGGCTTATTGGTTTTATGATCAACTGATCAATCTAAAGAGATCTATTTAGCACAGTGGTATGTTATAGGTAGTATTTTTATAAGGGTCATTTACTCTCCCCCCCCACAGAAAATAATGCATCTTAAAGGGAAGTACAGAGAATGTTTATTTTCAATGTTTACTTCTAAAATGGATTTTAAAAAATGATTACACCTCCACATATTAGTGAAAATGTATTGAAACATTGAAAATTTTGAAAGGTTTTAATATCTTTACAAAGGTACGTCTACCAGATATGGAGTTCTTTATAAACCTTGGAGATTGGCCATTAGAGAAAAAATCTGCAAGTGACTCACCACTTCCAATTATATCCTGGTGTGGTTCAGCAGATTCCCGTGACATTGTCCTACCTACCTACGATATCACTGAGGCCACCTTGGAAATGATGTCACGGTTAGTCAGTTAACAAAATCTTATATTTCTGCCCAGATTTTTACTAGTCCATGATAATCCAGTCCCCATTTATTTATCTTTTGATAGGTGGAAACAAAGAACAAAAAATTGGTTTGTAGTTGTAAAATGAAAACATGTATGTGGTGTACTTATTTGGTATCATATCTGGTCAATTTATTCTATTCTATTTTTATTGTCCTTCAAATTCAATATTTTATCAGTTACCTTTCATTTTCCTTGAGATTTTGAACACAAATTTTATGTGTGATTCCATCATAAGAGGAATGATATAAGAACCAATCATTTAATAATCAGACTTAATGATATTGAAATGGTATGATGATCTCTATATTGTGTGTGTGTATTTTGTTCAAGGGTGACCCTGGATGTCCTCTCAGTACAGGGAAACACTGGTGTAACTTGGGTCAACAAAACTAACCAGGCATTCTGGAGGGGTCGAGACAGCCGGCAGGAACGGCTCAATCTTGTCCAGTTATCTCGTCGAAAACCACACCTTCTAGATGCAGCCCTGACCCATATGTTCTTTTTCTCAAAGGATGAAAATAAATATGGTCCTCTTGTCAAAACTGTTCCGTTCTTCGAATTTTTTAAGGTATGTCATTAATAGCTTTAAAATACTCTTCAAAATTTGCACGGTCCATAAACACTGACACTTATGCTTTCTATCAGAATATGACCTAAAAAAATTGCTGCTTTTATATTTCTTCCACCAATTTACATGTCTATTGGTGTAGAACATGTCTAGAAAAGAATTGATGATAAATAAATTACCTTATAAAGAAAATCATTCTACAATTTTTTTTTTAATTTTAGATAATCAAACTAGAGCTAACTATGTCTTTTCATGGGCAGGAGGAATGCTGATTGTAGACTGAGCTAAACAAAATCATTAAAACATGGCATGGACCAGCTGTTGAATTTACAAGGTAACCGTTGCTTTTATTGTTTAACAGTACAAGTACCAGATCAATATTGACGGGACAGTGGCAGCCTACAGACTACCATACCTGCTTGCGGGAGATTCTTTAGTGATGAAACATGAATCTAATTATTATGAACACTTCTACCGTGACCTGGTACCCTGGCAACATTATGTGCCCTTCCAGCTTGACCTTGGTGACCTCGAGAGGCGCATTCTGTGGGCAAAAAAGAATGATGATGAGGTAAAGAAGATAATGAAAAAAAAAATTCAGTTGATTTTTTTTTTTTTTTTTTCAAAAACCTTAGTTGAAAAGAATTTTTTAAACAAGTAATGCAAATCATATTCATTTTGACTAAATGCAATCCAAAACACTTCTTACCTTGCTCAGAAAAACAAAAGCAAGAAGGGACAGAATTTGTCAGAAAATAAAATTCATCGTGATAATAGCATACAGCAGTACACATTGATTTTTTATCGAATTGGAATGAGAATTTCAAAGTTCAAGTCCTGGGAAAGAGAGTAAGATGAATTTGTCATGGCTGCCTTATCCGCAGAAGTAGATAATCCTTAATAACCTATCTCAAGAGTAAGACAAAGAAGACGAGATCGTATATACCTATAGGCTAATTTGTAATAGGATTATTATATAAAACTTTGCACAATATGTATAGTCAAACCTTGTTATCATGAACTTTTATAACTCAAAAATTCTGTTTAATGCCAAATTTTTCACTTTTATAAACCTTTGATCTAATTTGAATTTCAACTTTGAAATACCGAAGTTCATCTGTATATTTTTACAACAACAGGTTGTGTGATTTCGCTCTCAGACATTGTGTAAAGATGCTAACAGTTGGATAACTATATGATAGTAGCTGTATGTACTACTTTCCATAGTAGGATATGACCTTTCAGTATTTGATTGGTTGAGATTTTGAACTTGACTGAAAGGTCAATTCATGTACTTGCAGAAATTAAACATGCAATAAGTACTTCAGGAAAATTGGAATTTTCTATGGATTTTTATCAATTTGAAAATGATGACACTATTATCACTTGTTATGAATTATAATATTTCAACTTCAACATATACCTGAAATTATCACTTTTGCAGTATTAATTAGTAACATAGAGTAAAGATAACTCAATCCAACAGGTCGGGGGGCAGGTTCCTCAAAATTTATTAAGGTAGTCGAGTATCCAGACGGGCGGCGATGATACTGTAATCCACTACTAAAGACTACGGCGTTGGCTCTATATCTTCATAGATTAATTAGTAACATATTACAACAGGTCATCAATCATAACTAAAGTCTGTAACTCATTGTCCACAGATATAATTACTGAATGAATAAGAATGAATGGAGAACTTTTCTCTTTCTTTCAGGCAAAAAAGATATCAGTGAATGCTCGACAGTTTGTGAGGGATAACATTATGCCAAGAGATATCCTTTGTTATCATGGTAAAGTTTTTAAGGTAAGGATTATTTCCAATAGCACAGTCATTGTGCCTTTATTTGCTATAATATAATTCTCCCTGTTCTTGAAAGACATTGTTAAAGGTTAAATTACATGCAAGTTGAACAGGTGGTTAAGCATATATACTCTTCCCATCAGGCAAATTTAGATCAAAAGTGTTAAAATTCCCATACGAATGGCAATTACAATCTGTCAAAGTGATGATCTAAATTTACTTAGTGGGTGTGAAGGTTCACTGAATAATAATGAAACCTACAATGAAATATACATGTAGTATAATGATGGTTAATCTGATTAAAATCAGATCTCTAATTTCACTTTTTCCCCATCTATTACTGTCCAATGGAATCGTGTTTTTCTCTGATGCTAAGGAAATTAATGAACTGGTGCTAAAAGGTGACTGTAATAGACATGACATAACAATATGCTTTAAACATTTTTAATTTTTAGCCCACCATCATCGTATTTCTTGAGAAGCACTGGCTGGATACTCTCAAATATATTATGCAGGTTCACCTTGGTCCCTAGTGGTGCATAGTCCATTTTGGGTCTGATCAATAACAGAGAATAGCTTACAGGTGGTCGTCTTCATTTTTGACAGTCATGTTTTGTTGTTGCTGTCAGGTGAGGTGCTAGATGGACGACATTCCAGTGTTATGTGTAGGTTCCCATTTAGTCCTGGGTTATGCATGATTCATTTTCAGACTGATCAAACACACAAAACAGCTGATGCACAGCCATCTTAATTTTGACAGTCATGGTTTATTGCTATTTCTAGTGAAGTACTGAAGTAATATTTCTCAGATTTCATTTATAGCTTCTTTTTTGTCCCTCTAGTTAAAAAAGATATTTTAAAAAAAAGAGAGAGATTTTCATCGTATTTTTTCAAAGTTGCATTACTATCTTTAAAAGTACCACTTTAAGCTTACCAGACCTGAAGGGCCAAGTGAACTTATGACATGATGCTCTACCTGTCCATCCATCCATCCATTCAATGCCAACTCTTCTATTTGAACAACTTCTTCTGAATATCTACTAGACCTAGAATCAAGATGTTTGGCTGAAATCATCCTGGGATAAAGACAAAGTGTATGAAAAAATTGTTGTTGAATGATATTTAAGGTCAAAGGGGTCAAAGTTGTCAAACCACTTCCTTCTGTTTAAGCCAACAGCTTATAATTACGATATTTGACAGGTAGATTCCAAGAATGAAATTCAAAATTGTTTGGAAAAAGAAAAGATCTTGACCAATTCCCAAGGTCAAAGGGTAAAATTTCTGAAGAACTTCAACTGGCTTGATTTAAGCTCCCTAGAAATTATGTATTTTTGTTATATACGTCCCATCTTGGAATATGCTGATATAATCTGGGGTAACTGTACCCAACAAGATTGACAGGAACTTGAGAAACTTCATACTGAAGCTGGCAGAATCGTGACTGGAGCAACCAAATCTGCTTCATCCAATTCCATTATGCTTGAAACAGGATGGGAAACTTTGGCACATAGGTGTTACAAGCATAGAATGTTAACTTCATACAAAATATTTCATGGTGCTGCACCATTATACTTACAAAATTTGCTTCCTCCTATGATAGGAAATGCCCAAAATTATAATTTAAGGACCAATTCAAATATTTGCACTTGCCAGCAAGTAGGACAAATATCTATATGAACTCTTTTTTACCTACTGCTATCAGGGAATGGAATGGCATACCAAATAACATAATTAACTCTCCAACTTTGAATACTTTCAAAAAATAGCTCCGCAAAGGCGGGCAATACCCCATAGCCATATTAAAAAGTTGGGTGAAGGGCTGAGATTGTGAAGAACCTCTATGGGCTGTGTAGGTCCATAGGCCCAACATGCCCAGCGAAAATGGTGATCGCCGGTGATGTTGTTCTTGAGATAATGAGCGGAATGCAAATTCAAGATGGCGGCTGTAACCGCCATATTGGATATCGGGCGACGACGAAAAACAATAGGGTTGTGTAGGTCCATAGACCCAACATGCCCAGCGAAAATGCTGATCGCGGTGATGTTGTTCTTGAGATAATGAGCGGAATGCAAATTCAAGATGGCGGCAATAACCACCATATTGGATATCGGGCAACGACGAAAAACAATAGGGTTGTGTAGGTCCATAGACCCAATATGCCCAGAGAAAATGGTGATCTCCGGTAATGTTGTTTTTGAGATAATGAGCGGAATGCAATTGTGGATGGACGGACGGACGAACGGACAGCTTGACAGATGGCTCGACAGACGGACAGACGTCGTGCGTGATTACAATACCCCACACCCTTTCGGGTTGTGGGGTAAAAACACCTAGATAAACAAATTATTAAACCTCTATATTACTTTGTTGGTGAATGCTGGGCTCAGGTACTGCACACTCGTCTTCGTCTTGGATGTAGCTCTCTCAATTATCATCTCTATAATAATCATGTTTCAGATACAGATCTGTGTGTATGTGAGCAGGTTGAAACTCCTTATCATTATCTGATGCAATGTGTACGCTATAATGGAGCTAGAGAAAATACCCTAGATACATTAAATTTTAATTTGTCACTGGAATTACTCATTCATGGTAACCCAACCTGTCTCAAGATGATAATATCATTATATTTGAAAAGGTACAAAGGTACAATGGAGTTTCTTTGTGCTCTCTTTACCTCTTCCTTTCTCCTATCTTACCAACTTATGTTATCTTCTAATGGTTTACATATGAACGGTCAGTGTTTATCAGTGAATGTTAATTTTAAAAAAAAATCTTTCAATGTGTTTAAGTAAATTGTGCTATTGTAACTGTTTTATATTGGAGATGGCTTAATATAAGATTTATGATCTTGTTGCCAGATCCAATTTCAATTTTATAATTTGTGTATGTGTATGTTGTAAATGAAAATCTGAAAATAAAATATTGTTTAAACCAATGGCTTGGTTTAATGAACCAAAAGGCTGAAATTTAGCTGGTAAGTTTCCTAAATGAAAACCAGGTGAAGATTAGAAAATGAAATGTCATAGGGGGTCAGATTTGTTAAAGCCTTCAAACAATTTCTTTATAATCAAGCAAAATGCCTAAAATAATGATAGTTGACTATGAGTAGGTTCCTGAGATGAAGCTCAACAAAGGTCTCAGGATTCCTTAAAATCTTCTAATGAACAAAAATTACTCTGAATCATGATATTTGGTTGATAACTTCCTGAATTAAAGCCCATCAGATTTTATGAACAGAAATGACCTTGAACAATATTCAAAGTCACAGGTGGTGAAATTTGTTGAGACTTTCAAATGACTTTTTCTCATTAGCCAAGACTTTAAATGTCAATGATGTGAAATGTCAAAGTTTTTTGTATGGGCAGGTTTAAATACCAGGCAAATGATGCATGTCCATTTGGCCTTTTAATGTAATGAAACCCACACACATTCGGTATTAGGTTTTCAGTGGTGGATATTTGTTGCTGTTACATTAATGTCATCATCCTGACTTTTTAGCAATGCTGTTCAGCAAATCTGATTACTCTTTTCCTTATATTTTTTGGATGGTTGGGTGGCGTAGTAGTAACACGCTTGTCCTTTACCTAGCAATCCTGAAATGGATGTGAAAAGGTATGGGGGGCACTTGCCTGACCACATCAGTTTAAGCTGGGTTCTCCATTGTCCTATTACAATAAAACCCCTTGCAATCTTACATCCAGGCCAACAGGTATTACTGGTGTAAGCTGAAATAACTTGTCTGGCAATTGTTGTAAAAAAAATAAAGTTTATATTTATATACTTAATTTCCTATGCAACTTTCTGAAACATGGCAGCACATTTTTGATAGGCTGTTCAAAGTTTGATCCTGGGTCATCAAAACAATGAAACAAGGTATAAAGTATGAAGTGAGATGAGAGATCACAGTCTAATCCTAGTATATGGTAGTACACCATTTTTCTATGTATCTGCACTGATCTTCAAGTTTTCAGAAAATACATGTCATGTGTTGCAACAATCAAATCATTTGTTAAGTAGAGCTATTTCTGTGACACAGATGTTGGAGAATGGAAATTGATAATGTGTGATACAGGCACATTAGTCGTCTTGTATAATTGCTACATCTGAACATATGAATTTGAGGACCTTTTCAATGTTTTTTTTTCATCCCTTCTCCATCTGATTTTCAAATAGGAATATGCAAAGAGGCAGATGAAGGCTCCAAAAGAGGCTGACAATACCTGGGATGTAGTAGACCAGCCAGCATCGAACTGCGACTGTAAAAGGTTGAAGCCTGTAAAGGTGGGTTATTATTGATCATGTAAGGAGGGGCAGCAGGGCTCAGGTTATGTGCCTAGTGTCAGAAGAAATCCACTTGACATTCTGATAAGTTTACACCACTTACATATCAGTAATAGCTAAATATTTTCCCCTCCATTTATCAAATTTATTATCCATATTTTTTCCAAGCATTTGCAAATTTTACTACAAAACAAGAAAGTTTTTTCATAGACTAAGTGCTTTTAAAACTAAGTCACTTTGCAAAGTCTTTCTTTGAATATTTACAATATTCAAGGGAAAGATGTAGTGCAAGTATCAAAATTTCACACAGCGCTGGGATATGTTTAGATAATGTGTCCTTTTCAATTTTAACTCAGGTTGAGAAATGGATAGTTAGCCCGAGTACTGCCTCGGGTAGACTGTAATACAGTTTGTCAGGGGTATCTAATGAAATAATTTCAAATTTGTACAATGTGCAATCCTGAAATATGTGTCACATATTTTAATTATGTCCCCCAAACGAAATCTGTTGCATTATATCATTATTACCTCTACAGTATATACAATGCTGTTTTGCATTTTCTAAATCACATATTTGTGTGCAATTACTTTTCATTGGTTAATTTAGGTCATTATTTAGACTGTAGGTTTACAATCTTTTTAAGGGTATGGCATCAATGCTGAATTGAGGCTGGAATTTTTTGTTTTGTTTTGTTTTTTTTTTAATTTCAATTGTAAGAAATACCATGCTAATCACAAGTCAAAAGTATATATTCCTTGATTTAAGAATACTCCTTCATGTCTAGTTTTATATTTATTTGTTTTGATTTTCAGAAATCCAAAGAGGAATTGTGATGACATTTGTTGCAAAGTACCAATTACCAGCCATTTTCATTTCACAAATATCGTCAGAAACTGAATATCTTTACAGATAATATTTTCACCTTTGCGTTAGAAGAGTATCAGTATGCTTGAGAAAGAGGCTTTGATTGGATGAGAAAGTTATTTATTTTGTTTAGAGTTGTTAAATATTATCATAGCAAATTGTCCTTAGTCATTTATTTTTGTACTTTTAGCCTGAATGCAATTACCTCATGATAAAAAACTATCTACCACTGTTGAAACTGTCAAAATGCAATCCAGCTTTCTCTATAGTATGATTTGTTAGATATATTTTGAGCAGAACAGAACTGTTTTTTATCAATAATGGGTTGTTTTTTTTTATGGTCAACAGCTCAGATAATCAGAGTATATGTTGAATGCACATCAATAATCTGAATATAATTTCACTGCACACTAGTCACATGTCTGTCAAAATATCTAATGTCTGGTATAGGAGCCAGAGGAAACTCAGCCTGTAATCAATTATTTTCATATTTCTTTAAAATATTCAGTCTGCCATCAGCGGTTTCCTGTTACCTTAAAAGTATTGTGGATGGAAACGAACAGTGAAATTTTAGAAAACATTTTATGATGTTGGAATGATACTTTAAACCTCAGGTCTGTAATTACGAGATTTTGTGTCTACCAGGTAGTCTTTGTATAGATTGAATAACTGAAGCCTTCTGTATATTCTAGTTCAACTTTGTTTTGTTGGAACAATCATCCGTCCCCTTGTATTACACAAACCTGGCTAATATATGTGTATATATACACACACCCATAATTATTACACTGACTTCTTGGCATGAAAATATGCAAATGTAGGTTTTGAAGTTTTTAAGTAATACAGTTCCTTAGGTGATGCAGCAGATTATTTTGTTTTGCTTTTTTTTTTTTAATACATTACTGCTTTATTTTTCTGATTCAGACGAGTGCAGTTTCACAAGGTGATATTATGAAAAAGAAAAAATGTTAATGTTGATATTGATATCCAGGAAGGATATTTCACTGTACCACACAGTCTGCATCTTCTAATACTCTGCTTTATCTGCATGATATTTCAGCGATTATGTGACTACATCCATCTTATAACACTAGTGTGACATCACATGAAGGTTACAGTGGTGAAAATTGTATCTTCCAAACTGAATATTTTCATAAGAATAGGAGGGATGTAGTTATTATAATCTTATACTGTACCCATTTTACAACAAATTTATTTGCTTGTCTTAATATTACTGGTAATATGAAATTTCAAGGTTTGTGTCATATCAAGTTCATGATGTCTCCCTTGATTTTTATTTTCTTTTTCCCCCAACCCCATTACAACACTTGGGAGTGTGCTTGAAATAGATAGTTTAATCATGTTTTGGAATGTTATCCAAAAGGCTTTTCATTTTTTGTGAAATACAGTACATTTTGAACAAAAAACAATCTTCAGTTCAAATTTGTTATCTAAAACCTGCATATTTTTTTTTCTTTTTACAAAAGTATATAATATTTTCGAACAAGCTCTGAAATCAGGATTGGACATGAAGAGTATATGCAAACTGCCCGTTAGGTCAACATAGGCACAGCACTTCTCTCTAGGCCAACCAGTGATTTTTTTTTATATAGCTTCAAAATTTAAGTAAATACATTTAATATTTGAAGCTGACATCTTTATTCTTTGTTTAGTGACTTAAAATTATGATATTTTATTCAATATTCTGAAAAGTTAAGTTTGCACTGTTGATTTGAAAGTTAAACGATATTTGATTGAAGTCCAATAGATTACTAGTCCAATGTTAATCGTGTTCAGTTGATATTTGTTATTACCCCGTTATATACATATTTATTATTATATACAAGTTATTCTATTATCTATATATTTTATTATGTTTTGATATTTACGTTGCTAATTCCCTTTGATTGACCACACTTATTCCATTATGTTCCATGGCTATCCTTTCAAAAAGTACACATTCATTCTCAGAAATTCTTTATTTCTTTAAAAAATTAATCAAATTTGCTCAAAATACTTTAAATTGATTCTTTTGACTGATCAGGACATGAAGGATGATTTAAGAGTTAATCATCTGATCTAGTAATATTTTATATGTGAAGCCTGAGGATGATTATTAATTTTGTTTGGATGTTGGGAGAATAAATCGAAAAAATAATGATCATGATCCAACTTCGTAGATTATATCCAGAGTACTTAAATGACATTAGATAATCTAGTTAATTACAGGCCTCATGGACCACTTGTTTAAGAGACATTTGACATGGAATCCAATGGTAATATCCACTTATTGGGTTTGTGCTTGTATTGATTTTATACCAAATTTTCAAACCGAGCCCGTAGTAATTTATTTAAATTGTGAGGAAGATTGTATTGTATGACATGATACAGAAAGAAAGTGTATGCTTTAGCTCTTTTGATATTGAATATAAACTACTCTTGTGACATTGTAAAAATACATAACTTAGCGATCATGATGTTTTAGCAATTTTTTTAACTGAAAGCCTGGTGCAGAATATGATTGTACTTACTGCTGTTTTACATGCCTCTTATATAGCAATTATTGTGGATGCATTGATTTTATCACTGAGCTAATGTGCAAAAAGGTTAATTTGCACTTAAATTTGATTTTGCCAAATTAAGTATGTTTACATTAGCTTACAATATTCATAATTTACTTTTGCCATACAACTTCTCTTATTCTGTAGATCATTTATGTATGTTTTATATGTATGTAAACCTTTAGTTTCATCAATGAATTATTTTCATATTAGTAAATTTGTCATTTGATATATTGTGAAGTTAAATATAGTTAAAAGATTTTTCATTATTACAACCCAGTATCAGAGATAGACATGTCTTACTGTTGTTTGTTATCATTTAACCATCGCCTTTTTCCATCATCTAGACACCCCAACTTACAGAGGAGTAGAAAACTCTGCAAAGGATAAATTGCACCACTTTGTTCAATGGTGGTCAGAGTTAAAAGGTCAAAGGTCACACCTGGCTGTAATTGATGATTCATGAACCAAGTTTATGACATACACTATTTACTGATGAAAAGAAAAAAAAGGAATTTTGATTCATATTTAAAAATTTTCTTTTAATGTTTTTACTAACATTTAATTTTGTTTTTATATATACAGTGTATAATAAATTACGAATTCCCCTCTAGTATCTTACATATTGGCCCGTAAACTTCCAGACACAAAATTAAACACTCTCTCAGTCCACATTCAAATACATTTCTGAAGAACAGGATGGAGAATAGAACTGACAGTACAAAGTAAACTGAACAAAAGAACAAAGCATATTTACTATTAATATAACAAGATTCTAAATTCTTAAAAAATGCCTAGCCATAAGCTATAGTGCAGAAATAACCTGATGAAGTGATCACTTCATGATTTTACACAGAAAATAAGGAATCAATAATCATACTGAAGAAACAATGCTTATAATACATAGTTCAAGTATTGCATGGATAATGATCATGGAAAAAAGACAATTTCTGATTATAATGTGCCAAACACCCCCTGAAAGTAAAAGCAGTTGATGCCAGTCAATTGTTTAAACTCACTTTTAAAGAAATGTTTGCATTGTATTGACATCATAAAGATGGGATTTTTTTAAAAAGTTTTTTTTTTTTTGCACATTTGAAATTGTTGACAAACCTAGTGTGAAAATCAAAAGGATACTTGAATATGAAAATTCTAAAGGATAAACATGTAGCAGTTAAAGAAAGATTTGATCTAATTAAAAACTTAAAGTATATATTAAATCGACTAATCTGATAGTAACAATTGCAGGTAGAAAAAGAAATATTTTCCATTCTCAACTTTGACATTACTGTCACAAGCTCCTGATGATACATACCAGATGCCACACCCACAAGTGTTGATATTCAATCAGTAATGCCACATTTTATACAGTCTTGACCATAAAGATGACAAAACACATCCATTCACACACACACACACACACACACACACACACACACACACACACACACACACACACACACACACACACACACACACACAAACATACACATACACACAACACCTCTACATAGAGTTTAAAAATGCAAGCAAACACATCAGAAATTGACCGCAGTAAAACGTTTTTCATATGCCATACATATATAATCTATTATTGCAGTTGCATTTATCCAGAATTTTATTATTTTCTCACAAAGACATGTTTTGAGTAAAAAGAAGACCCTCTATGGTACTTTCCTCTTCAATCAATCTCCATGGCAGAAATCCATTCAATCATGAAATGTTATATTTCTTATTTGTAAAACATTTTGTGCACATGAATAGATTTATTTCTAATACAAGTATCAGAAAGGCAGTTGTATAAATATACAAAACCTACCTCCAGGTAACATTTTTAAACGAATCACATCTAAAAATAACCTCCACAGAAGGCTTAGAGAGACACAAAGGCTTTTTAGCATTGTTACAAAAAAAATTCACATTTATTTGAAATACTTGAGGAAGATGGCACCTTAACAATGCAGCTTCAGCTGAAGATATGGTTGTTTATAATATTTTTCAGTTATACATTATGATTCTGTCTTGGAAACATGCATTAAAAATAAGATTCACTATTTCAACAAGATTTTGTATAATTCTAAAGAATTTGAACAGTCTATAATGGAAAATACGCAATTTTCACAAAAACAATCTGTTTTACCCATTTTTAAACATGTACATACACAATAGTTGAAAGCATGCAAAACACAACATTCAATTGGATTCAAACCTATTATTATAAAAATCAACCTTGCATTCAAACGCACAAGTTTTTTCTGTCACTATTTAAGAACACTCAAGCAGGTTAAGAAAACTTTGATCGTTTGTGCAATACAACAATGATTTTTCAGAAGAAAAATAAGGATTAATATAAGCTTGATTGGTACACCCCTTATAAGAAATGACTAAACTTTAAAGCACATCACTATTGGATATGCTTGTGATTACAATAAATATTATCATAATAACTAGATACTGAATGTCATAGCAGAATTTACATGGTATAATTGTAGTATCATAATAAACAAATCAGCTGTGATGATTTTGCTAAAAATCAAGACACTTTTAATCAGGACATAAAAAATAAAGAAATATCAGATATTCTTTGTTTTTTGAAAATTAACTGTTACATTTTATTGAGTTGAATGATAGCATTGATATTGCACAAGTGAAAATATGAAAGTTTCCACCCCACAAGATGAATATAACATTTATTCATTAAGATACAAAAAAAAAAAAAATTCAATTTATTTCATTTTTCTCACATGTCACTGTTGCAAGATTGAATTTGCCCATCTGTCTATTTGCGGGCTCTGTTATCATTACTACACCACATCATACACAGTAATTTAAATATAAGTCTTCAAATAATTCAAAATAAGACAGGTATCTACAACCAATGTGATAGTAATTAAATCAAGACCTGCCTGGATCAATACAATATTGTTATGATGTTCGAATTTTATTGGGCTATATTTTCACAATCTCAATCAGAGTTGTCATTCCTTACTGGTACAGCAATGTATTCTGGGAAAGCTTGATATTTTCACTGCAAATATTGTGATATGATAAGATAAAAAATGAGTGAAAACATCAAAATCGGTCATTTTTTCTTAGTGAAAATATTACTTTTTCACAATTAAAATGTAATAAATTGGTCTATGAGTAGAATTTCGAGTGATAAACCGTCAGATCATGTTACCAGGGAATATTTCACCTTTGAACTATATTCTTATTGAAAGATGTGTAAAAATTGTGAAATTTCATATGATGCAAGAGTTGGCTAAATCTGTTTCATGTGCAGATAATGTTCATGTATGTGCAACACCGGTGTGAGTTTATATAGCTATGAATAAATTTAGTTTATTTTCGTATCAATTAAGATTGAACATGAACTCATTCTCACAGACATATGAAATTCGACACCCAAATCTGATCGTTTTCATACTTATAGAGTGCAATATCTAGCGAAAGACTTGTTAAAGAATTCAATAGGAAAATCACACAAATAACTCTTCCCAATGCGTTAGGACTATGATAGAAGTGGTTGTCAATTACTGATGATGATCCTCATAAAGGGCAACAGTTTGTGTCGGACAGGACCATCCAGTAAAACATTTATATTTAATATTCTACTTAAGAGAATCTTTAGCCTTTTCCTTATTTCATCAATATTTACTTCACTCAAAACCATGCACATATATACACCCGTACTCAGAGCACCATTTCTACAACATATCTCAACAATGATATCTTTACTATTTTGTAAATAATCTAATTTAAACTTCAAATTCCAGATATGTCTGGATAAAAATATTTAAATGCATATTTCTACCATCACACCTGAATTTAATTTGAAGAGTAACTCAACATCTTTAAAAGAAACAAAAAATCTGGAAAATGAGATAAATACATTATTGGTAAGGATCAAATGATTATGGGTTTATATTTTATGATAAATGAAGACTGGAATAATACTAAACCCAGTTGGTCATAATTTGATATCTCTTAGTCATAATTTGATATCTCTTTGAATTTTGAATTTCACAAAGTCTGGAATATGACTTTCCCTTCAATTCAATTCGGAGAAGTAAACACGGATATTTAAAGCAGATATAACATTAAAAAATTTCAAAGAAAACACATTCTTCTCTTTTCTGTGATATGATAGATAAATTGTTTTATTCTAATACTGACAAGCCAACTGCTGTCAAAATACCATTTTCACTTCAAACTACATTAAGGCATTTATTAAGTAATGAGATCAAATACTACACTGGTTATGTGCACATTCACACAAATATAATTGACCGATAAATCATCAATCATTGATTCATAATTTTCTTGAAACAAATAAAAGATAAATAATCTATAAAGTAAAATACTTACGGTCTGTGGTTATGACAAAACAAAGTCATTTATAATTGTTTTGTGGTGTGGAACTAATCACAGCAATATTCACTTATCTGAATTCAATTCTGCATGCCATGTCACAAAGAAACAAACATGATCAGCTAGTGATTTGCAGTACATATATATATTGAGCATCTCGTTAATAATATAATTTAAAAAACCTGTTTATATAATCTCATTGTGCAGTTTTCAAACTCTTATGTAATTGTAAAATTAAAACTGAATATTACTTTAATAATGATAAACATTGTCTTAAAGCAATTGTTCAAAGTGCCAAACAAAATCTCTCTCCTCCCCCCCTGAAATAAGGTACATACTTTGGTTAAAACACTTTTTAATATTTCCTATCTTAACACACCAATTCAGATCTTTGACTTTGTGAACAAATTTAATTTCTTGCTAGAGTGCCAAAAAGATCAGCCAAGATACACAAACATTTCTGATTTCCCTTGATAACTTCTATATTCACAAAAGCCAACATCAATTAATCAGAAAAACTGCAATTTTTCAAAATCATTCATATTATTCCATAGAAGGATTTAGCTACTTATAAATAATGAGCAAATTTTACAACTACCATACAAATTCAGTAACGAAATGTCACAGAGGTTTTTAAGGTAAAGGTACTATTGAAGTGTATATTTACAATGACACATCTCTCATTACATATTTTATATCTCAACATTCACACATGCGTCTATTACACTAGGCATATATAACAATTTCTCCACACTGACACAAGTCTTTAAAACCTTCTGTCGGAGACTCATACCTCCAACAGATACTGTATGACATTTTTTTCAACACTCTTGCCGATCAAAAATACTTGAATAAGATCCTCTGTCTGGCAATAATGTTTAACAACAAGGTTCTTCATGAAAACATTTAAATGACTATGTAGATATTTCAACATGCATGAATATTATATTTGTATCATCAAGATGATATCGGAACACATCTGGTTAACGTAATACCCAGGGTGTTGGTGTCCCTCTGCACAAATCTCACCAACCTCTAATTCAAATTAGGTTCATGTCATGGGAGGTATAACTGAGACATAAGAATGGTGTACAACACATGAAATGTTTACCCTCTGTCGAGCGCCAAGTAGTCCAGCAGAAGTCTGGCGTTTTCCTCGTTAGAATAGTGACACAAACCAGCTGCCTCCATACACGTCCAGCTTGTAGCGATTGTGGGGCAGTGGCCATCTAAATGGCCAGGTAAATTTGTCTCACGTTGTTCGTGATGGAACTTTGGCCACTAGACCTCAACGGCAGAAGTCTTGAGGAATAGACATGCAGGACTTACCAAGCCTCATAGCCAGTTCCAGAACGCACAACCAACCACAGGAACCTGTCCACGGTTAGCATATCCGCACATAACAGTCAATGTAACGAATGAAATCAATTGCAGAGCACAGCATGCTATGAAGACAGTCATTTATAAGTTAAATAGACACTATGACTGACTGTTGTAGAAATTGAAACAAGTCTTTGTAGCGACTGCGGAATAGCACTGCCTGCAGGCACACACCTATTGTGAGAGTGTCAACTGAACCTGGGCTCAATTTGGCCGGTCACAAGGCATAGGTGAAACATAATGCAGGATACCTGCCTTGTCGTCTTTATCGTCACAAACTAACACAGAAACTGTTTGTTTCCAGTACTCGAAGCTTATCCGTGAACTCTGCAAAGAAAAAATCAATAAATAAAAATATTACTACATATAGACTACTAAGTTGTTTCTAATGAAATGTCATCAAATTGTAGAAAGAACATATATAGATGCTTTGTTTCATCATTTATATATGATAGGCCTGGGTGCTAGAAAAGGTTGATACCGGTTAACTGGAAACCCGGTTGATCTGAAGTATTTTTCATTCCCCAAGGATTTAAATATAACCGTGTTCGACTGTATTTCAGGTCTCGATAAAGTAATACAGTTAAGAGTTCTTACTCTACAGATAGTTTTTGCCATTGTTAAACAAAGGCCGAATTGCAAAATCCCTCAAGATGACAGAAATCTGTGAAATAATCAGTAATTATCAATAAAATATAAATGTTCCTGTGAATTCACACCAGCACAACTTAATGTGAAGTAGGAAATTAAAGCATTCAATGAAAGTAAACAAACACTGAATGAAAACAAAAACAACACCGAAGTAAATGATCTTGTGTTATCTATTGTCAACCAAACAATAATCTATATATCACATATGTATATACTGTCAAACTTTTGTGACCGACTTAGAAATAAATTCTGTAACTACTGTAGAGTGGAACAATAAATAAAAACAAATCTAAGGCTACAGTGCTTTTCAGGATCATTCTGGGATCATTTAAATGGCCAACATGTTTCTCATGTTTCAGTATTTCCTACAATACCTGAACATTTAAAATTTATAATGAGTCTAGCAAGCATTTTATGGTATGATGCCTTGAAATACTAAGAGTTAAAAAAAAAAAATGAAACAAACTGCATATATGAAAGGTCCTAGTTTCACACGAAACTTCAGATATTTGTACTGCCCCTTCTCCTTACTACATTACAAATGCATTATTGGATGTACTTGCAATATTTTATTCAATATAATTATATTTGAATGTGTCAGATGAAAATGATGTATAGACAACATGAGTGAAGCCATAAAACAGGCATTTCAAAAGAAAAAAAATGTGAATATTTTTCGTTTCAAATTATATTTTTTGATATTCTAAGGTCTGTAGATTTTATTAATACATACATTGCCTTTAAGAGAGAAGTATTAAGTTTTACATAAAATTACTTTGTGATAGTTTCATAAGAGCATTCAACTGGCAGGATATTATCAGCTGGTATAACATAAGACAATATATCAGAATCAATCCAACAGGCTAGAGGCAGGTTCTTCCATAATTTATCTGGTACTTTGTCTACCATTTTCCCCAACAAGTCAGGCTTCATCAGAACCTGATTGATTCTGATATATTTAAGCTCACCCCTTCTCATCAATGCCCTGCATACCTTCGGGGATATCCAGGCTAAAGGCGAACAACCGCGACGCCTCCATTAAAGGTACTACGGTGTTGGCTCTACTCTTAGCACATATAAGACAATGAACGCATAGACCAATCAACTATAGTAGCTTTACATGTATCCATACATCATCCATAAGAGTAGTAATTAGTAATAAGTAAAAGTGATTTATTTAACTATGTGAACTAGTCTAGAACACACAGTAAATACCTACCTTTTCCAGAGCACTACAATCTTTGTCTTTGTGGAGGTAATGGTCTTGCCAAAACGTCAAGAGATCCCTAAAATATAAGTTTTCTTGGTAATTGTTGATAATTTACATAACATGGGCCTTGTTTTCAATAATTTCCAAAGAAAAGAGCTGTTCACTGCAAAATCATGACTTTTCAAATGTCAACATGAGCAGCAAACTGATCGTCGTTTTCAGATTTTTAAAGGAGATTTGTCTCAGACCTGTTTCTCTGCTATATGTTTTATATATAGATATTTTTTTTTTTACAACCACACATGATCATCTTCTCACTTTGAAAAATTTCACTGCAAGCTTGACAATTTTCCTAAGTGATACACCACTATCACAAGATGACCTGTATACAGTGTTTGATACTTCAGATGCATTTTATAAATCTAAACTAACTGGATAGTATCAACAGATATTCTCTGGAAAAAGACACATGTCCAAGTCTGACAGCCATAAACAACATCTAATACAAACTTCCATTCCACAATTAATGATTCTGTTTCCAAAATTCACAAGAAATACTAATATACAATTGGAATGACTGACAGATATGGCTATGTCAAGTTCCCTCTCATAAGTGACTAACAAAACTGAATACATTCATGTCTCTAAAACAGGACTTATTTCCATTTCTTGGGAAAATTGTTTTGAAAAATTCAAACAGAGGTTGATCTATTCTTTTTCTGTAAAGGTTGTAATTTTTTTGGTTTAAATTTTTATGTTTTTGTCAAAACTTTATATATCAGGTAAAATGGATATAGAAAATAACAAAATTAGAACCCTTCAAAAACAACAACTACAACAGTGAGAGGATTACTGTTGATATGTTCTGGTAGTTTATTTTTTACACACCTGAAGTTGCGTAAAAGATTGGCTGACCCACTGACATCCATCAGATCCTCTTTCTCATCTCTCAATGCCTGGAGATACTTGGGTAACTGGCCCTTACGGTTGGCAAACATGAGAAAGACCAAGGTGGTGTTCAGGCAGCTTACATTTTCCTAATGTAAAAAAGAAAATGACAAGTGTATTCCATTTCCCCTTAACATTCTTCTGTCTTAATGAATGTAGAGAAAAACAACAATAACTAGAACTGTCACCTAGATGGCTGACCAATACCCCCTGCACACTGCAACGAGTCAATGGATAAGTTGAAGTGTTATTCTGAGAGTAATTGACATATTCTGCATGTGCCTGCATTTCTCTTTATTGAAGTAATATTTTCCCCTGAAGGGCCACAGAGACAAAAAAAAAGGTCACTATAATAAGTGGGTACTACATCAATCTCAAACTCAGCTGGCAATCAGTTGATAATCAGAGGCCAGGATTGTGTTTCCACGGTAACAGTTTGGAAACATCTATTATGTCTAATTATTGGCCTTACTGAATTACATCTTTATACTAAGTTTGAATACAATCGGTCAAATAACTGAGGAGTTATGGACATTTATTAGAAAACTTGTTTATAGTGACCAGTTACCATGGCAACCAAAATTTTCAAAGAAAGGAAGGGGTGTGCATATCTACACATGTTTGTCATGGCAACGAAACCTATTTTATAATGTTTGGCATCCCCTAATAACCCTATATACCAAATTTGGTCAAAATTAGACAATATCTAAATTTTGACCAATCAGAGGCCAGGATTGTGTTTCCGCGGTAACAGTTTGGGAAACATCTAATATGTCCAATTATTGGCCTTACTGAATTACATCTTTTTACTAAGTTTGAATACAATCGGTCAAATAACTGAGGAGTTATGGACATTTATTAGAAAACTTGTTTATAGTGACCAGTTACCATTGCAAACAAAATTTTCAAAAAAAGAAAGGGGCATGCATATCTACACATGATCCTTAATATTCCTGTAAAGTTTCATCAAAATCTGTTCATAGGTTTAGGAGGAGTTAGTCGGACAAAATGTGTCTACAGACAGACGGACGGACAGACGGACAACCTGATTCCAGTATACCCCCCCTAACTTCGTTGCGGGGGGTATAATAATTCAGCACAGTTATGGTTGTGTAAGTGTCATAATAATTATTCTTTACAGACAGTAAGAATCCTTCTAATTTTCCTCTACACAGACAGTAAGAATCCTTCTAATTTTCCTTAACAAGATATCTCATTGTCTTACCTGCTGGTTTAATACATTCCCTTATGTATCATTACAGAACTTTATTACACAATCCTATTTTTAACCATACTTTCTCATTGCAATCAACTGCGAGATTAAAAAAATAAGTCCTTATTAAATTTTATGTATTGTTCATGTTTTCCTGATACACAAGTTACAGATCCTTCTCTCATTGTACATATGTTAGATTTTCTAAGCTATTTTATTTTTAACTTAGCAGTAGTAACCAGAACTCTTTTAAGGAGTTGCTGATAAAAGTAGCTGTTGTAATCTACTAAAGCTCATATTTTCCCCTCCACTCCTGTGTGAGATTTCCTTTCTCTTGACTACTCTGAAGGAAATTAAGAATTTTCTGATGAATTTGTGTTGTAATTTTTCTTCACCTGAACTTGTTTGAGATAAGCTTCTTTCTGCATAAGCTGTGCGAGATTCTAGCACTATTGACCAAGCTATGTGACATTGTCTTTCTACCAACAAAGCTGAAGAAAAAAATCAAATTTCTCTACTCACCTGTGTGAGATTTTCCACATTAATGATCTTGATGAGTTTGTAGAGGTAGTCTAGCTGTTTACTGAAATCACCTATATACATCAGTAATTTGTTATCCTTTTTGGCATATTCTGCAACAAAAAATAGTTTTTCTATTCACAAATGCAGCAGATATCTTACATGCTCTTAATTCACACTTCATTACTGACCACACAAATCTATGATTAAGATACAGAAATGAGAACCTCATATTAAAATGGATTTCCAAAATCATCCAAAAGAGAGGGCATTCTGATATGATACCTAACCTCTGGGTTCCCTATATTTGTTCCTGATAAGTTCGGTCTTATCTGTTCAATAGTATATATATATATCTATATGTCTCTGTGGTGACCCACTATACCTTAATCCATCTGTAGTGAACTACTGATATATATCTGTGGTGCCCTACAGTGTCTATATCTATCTATGGTGCCTAACTGTAGCTATAGCCATCTGTACAGCCAGCCCTATTGTACTGAAATGTATCTGTGGTTCCCTACTGTACCAATATCTGCAGAGGCCAACTGTACATATATCTGTATGTGGTGTCATCCTGAATCTATAATGATCTGCGGTACCAGACTGTACTTATATCCATTTGTGGTGCCCTAGTGTATCTGTATCCATCTATGGAGCCCTGCTGTACTAAAATTTATCTGTGATGCCATACAATGCCTTACCCAAATCGTAATGCTGCCTGTTTTCTTTTCTTGTATGTGTCAATTACTACTACCTGTATCTTAAACAACATGTGTTGTAATTATCCCTGGAGGTTGTACCTACTCTGTAAGGTACCTACCTCTGTATGTTGTACCTACCTCTGTATGTTGAACCTACTCCTGTATGTTGTACCTACCTCTGTATGTTGTACCTACCTCTGTATGTTGAACCTACTCCTGTATGTTGTACCTACCTCTGTATGTTGTACCTTCCTCTGTATGTTGAACCTACTCCTGTATGTTGTACCTACCTCTGTATGTTGTACCTATCCCTGTAAGATGTACCCATTCTGTAAGGTACCTACCTCTGTATGTTGTACCTACCTCTGTATGTTGTACCTATCCCTGTATGTTGTACCTACCTCTGTATGTTGTACCTACTTCTTTATGTTGTACCTATCCCTGTATGTTGTACCTACCTCTGTAAGGTACCTACCTCTGTATGTTGTACCTACCTCTGTATGTTGAACCTACCCCTGTATGTTGTACCTACCTCTGTATGTTGTACCTATCCCTGTAAGATGTACCCATTCTGTAAGGTACCTATCCCTGTATGTTTTACCTATCCCTGTATGTTGTACCTACCTCTGTATGTTGAACCTATCCCTGTATGTTGTACCTATCCCTGTATGTTGTACCTACCTCTGTATGTTGTACCTACTCTGTAAGGTACCTACCTCTGTATGTTGTACCTAATCTCTAAGGTACCTACCTTTGTATGTTGAACCTACCCCTGAATGTTGTACCTACCTCTGTATGTTGAACCTACTCCTGTATGTTGTAACTACCCCTGTATGTTGTACCTACCCCTGTATGTTGTACCTACCCCTGTATGTTGAACCTACTCCTGTATGTTGTACCTTCCTCTGTATGTTGAACCTACTCCTGTATGTTGTACCTATCCCTGTATGTTGTACCTATCCCTGTATGTTGTACCTACCTCTGTAAGGTACCTACCTCTGTATGTTATACCTACCTCTGTATGTTGTACCTACCTCTATATGTTGTAACTACCCCTGTGTGTTGTACCTACCCCTGTATGTTGTACCTACCCCTGTATGTTGAACCTACTCCTGTATGTTGTACCTTCCTCTGTATGTTGAACCTACTCCTGTATGTTGTACCTACCTCTGTATGTTGTACCTACCTCTGTATGTTGTACCTATCCCTGTAAGATGTACCCATTCTGTAAGGTACCTATCCCTGTATGTTGTACCTATCCCTGTATGTTGTACCTATCCCTGTATGTTGTACCTACCTCTGTAAGGTACCTACCTCTGTATGTTATACCTACCTCTGTATGTTGTACCTACCTCTATATGTTGTACCTATCCCTGTGTGTTGTACCTACCTCTGTAAGGTACCTACCTCTGTATGTTGTACCTATCCCTGTATGTTGTACCTACCTCTGTAAGGTACCTACCTCTGTATGTTGTACCTACTCTGTAAAGTACCTACATCTGTATGTTGTACCTACCCCTGAATGTTGTACCTACTCTGTAAGGTACCTACCTCTGTATGTTGTACCTACCTCTGTATGTTGTACCTACTCTGTAAGGTACCTACCTTTGTATGTTGAACCTACCCCTGAATGTTGTACATACCCCTGTATGTTGAACCTACTCCTGTATGTTGTACCTACCTCTGTATGTTGAACCTACTCCTGTATGTTGTACCTACCTCTGTATGTTGAACCTACTCCTGTATGTTGTACCTATCCCTGTATGTTGTACCTACCTCTGTAAGGTACCTACATCTGTATGTTGTACCTATCCCTGTAAGATGTACCCATTCTGTAAGGTACCTATCCCTGTATGTTGTACCTATCCCTGTATGTTGTACCTACCTCTGTATGTTGTACCTACTCTGTAAGGTACCTACCTCTGTATGTTGTACCTACCTCTGTATGTTGTACCTAATCTCTAAGGTACCTACCTTTGTATGTTGAACCTACCCCTGAATGTTGTACCTACCTCTGTATGTTGAACCTACTCCTGTATGTTGTAACTACCCCTGTATGTTGTACCTACCCCTGTATGTTGTACCTACCCCTGTATGTTGAACCTACTCCTGTATGTTGTACCTTCCTCTGTATGTTGAACCTACTCCTGTATGTTGTACCTACCTCTGTATGTTGTACCTATCCCTGTAAGATGTACCCATTCTGTAAGGTACCTATCCCTGTATGTTGTACCTATCCCTGTATGTTGTACCTATCCCTGTATGTTTTACCTACCTCTGTAAGGTACATACCTCTGTATGTTATACCTACCTCTGTATGTTGTACCTACCTCTATATGTTGTACCTATCCCTGTGTGTTGTACCTACCTCTGTAAGGTACCTACCTCTGTATGTTGTACCTATCCCTGTATGTTGTACCTACCTCTGTAAGGTACCTACCTCTGTATGTTGTACATATCCCTGTATGTTGTACCTACCTCTGTATGTTGTATCTATCCCTGTAAGATGTACCCATTCTGTAAGGTACCTACCTCTGTATGTTGTACCTACCTCTGTATGTTGTACCTATCCCTGTAAGATGTACCCATTCTGTAAGGTACCTACCTCTGTATGTTGTACCTATCCCTGTATGTTGTACCTATCCCTGTAAGATGTACCCATTCTGTAAGGTACCTATCCCTGTATGTTGTACCTACTTCTTTATGTTGTACCTACTTCTTTATGTTGTACCTATCCCTGTATGTTGTACCTACCTCTGTAAGGTACCTACCTCTGTATGTTGTACCTATCCCTGTATGTTGTACCTACCTCTGTATGTTGTACCTACCCCTGTATGTTGCACCTACTTCTTTATGTTGTACCTATCCCTGTATGTTGTACCTACCTCTGTAAGGTACCTACACCTGTATGTTTTACCTACCCCTGTATGTTGTACCTACCTCTGTAAGGTACCTACCTCTGTATGTTGTATCTATCCCTGTAAATGTACCCATTCTGTAAGGTACCTATCCCTGTATGTTGTACCTATCCCTGTATGTTGTACCTATCCCTGTATGTTTTACCTACCTCTGTATGTTGTACCTATCCCTGTATGTTGTACCTACCTCTGTAAGGTACCTACCTCTGTATGTTGTACCTATCCCTGAATGTTGTACCTACCTCTGTAAGGTACCTACACCTGTATGTTTTACCTACCCCTGTATGTTGTACCTACCTCTGTAAGGTACCTACCTCTGTATGTTGTACCTACCCCTGTATGTTTTACCTACCTCTGTATGTTGTACCTACCTCTGTATGTTGTACCTATCCCTGTAAGATGTACCCATTCTGTAAGGTACCTACCTCTGTATGTTGTACCTACCTCTGTATGTTGTACCTATCCCTGTAAGATGTACCCATTCTGTAAGGTACCTACCTCTGTATGTTGTACCTACCTCTGTATGTTGTACCTATCCCTGTAAGATGTACCCATTCTGTCAGGTACCTATCCCTGTATGTTGTACCTACCTCTGTATGTTGTACCTATCCCTGTATGTTATACCTACCTCTGTAAGGTACCTACCTCTGTATGTTGTACCTATCCCTGTAAGATGTACCTACACCTGTATGTTGTACCTACCCCTGTATGTTGTACCTACCACTGTATGTTGTACCTTTATGTTGTACCTATCCCTGTATGTTGTACCTACCTCTGTAAGCTACCTACCTCTGTATGTTGTACCTACCTCTGTATGTTGTACCTATCCCTGTATGTTGTACCTACCTCTGTATGTTGTACCTACCTCTGTATGTTGTACCTACCTCTGTATGTTGTACCTACCTCTGTATGTTGTACCTATCCCTGTAAGATGTACCTACACCTGTATGTTGTACCTACCCCTGTATGTTGTACCTAGTTCTTTATGTTGTACCTATCCCTGTATGTTGTACCTACCTCTGTAAGCTACCTACCTCTGTATGTTGTACCTATCCCTGTATGTTGTACCTACCTCTGTAAGGTACCTACCTCTGTATGTTGTACCTATCCCTGTATGTTGTACCTACCTCTGTAAGGTACCTACATCTGTATGTTGTACCTATCCCTGTAAGATGTACCCATTCTGTAAGGTACCTATCCCTGTATGTTGTACCTACTTCTTTATGTTGTACCTACTTCTTTATGTTGTACCTATCCCTGTATGTTGTACCTACCTCTGTAAGGTACCTACACCTGTATGTTGTACCTACTTCTTTATGTTGTACCTATCCCTGTATGTTGTACCTATCCCTGTAAGGTACCTACCTCTGTATGTTGTACCTATCCCTGTATGTTGTACCCACCTCTGTAAGGTACCTACCTCTGTATGTTGTACCTATCCCTGTATGTTGTACCCACCTCTGTAAGGTACCTACCTCTGTATGTTGTACCTACCCCTGTATGTTGTACCTACCTCTGTATGTTGTACCTATCCCTGTATGTTGTACCCACCTCTGTAAGGTACCTACCTCTGTATGTTGTACCTATCCCTGTATGTTGTACCCACCTCTGTAAGGTACCTATCCCTGTATGTTGTACCTACCTCTGTATGTTGTACCTACCTCTGTATGTTGTACCTACCTCTGTATGTTGTACCCACCTCTGTAAGGTACCTATCCCTGTATGTTGTATCTACCTCTGTAAGGTACCTACCTCTGTATGTGGTATATTCCCCTGTAAAATGTACCTATTCTGTAAGGTACCTACCTCTGTATGTTGTACCTATCCCTGTATGTGGTATATTCCCCTGTAAAATGTACCTATTCTGTAAGGTACCTACCTCTGTATGTGGTATCTTCTTCTGTGAGATGCTCTAGAGACAAAACTAGACTCCTGATGAACATGTTGGAGTCAACAAGATTCCTATTTACAGTAGTGATGAACTTCTCAAACTGTAAATAAACATATTCAGTATTAGTAATCAAGCTTTACAACATCTACCATAATCTACCTAGTATACAAACAAGCTCAATCATTTCACTTTTATGTAGAATAAATATAGCATTGCAAAGATATTCCAACTTACATATTCCATGTCAACTATTGTGAATAAAAATTGTCCTGCTATAACTCTAGAAGTCAATCTAATTCCATAACTTTTCCATCACATTTTGTTCAAATTTGTTTAATCTATCACAGTTTCACTTATCTATAAGCTAGAAAGGATTTGAAATAATACTCTTGTCTGTGTCAGTGTCTGTAATTCATACTACAGATTTTTTTGGCATTTATTACAAATTTATGTTTAAAGAAAAAATTCTACATATACATAATCCCATTCCTTCTATGCTGGAAACAGAGCTTAATACATACTCTGTCAATGAATCTAACATTTAATTTTGACAACCATCTCAAAAGTTAAACCCCAAAAAGGTGTATGGTATTTATATTTTCCATCACAACTGATTAGCAGTAATTAGTTATTGAAATATAATATTGTATACAACTCTTAGCTTTCTCCAAATCTGTAACTTTGTTTTAAATCAAACAGCTCTATTAGAACTTCCTTCCCCAATTTCTTTCCACGAAATCAAATATTTTGCAAATAACTTTCCACAAATCCTTTGGCTCAGTGTCCACTACGTGATTATACCTTTGCCTGTGTTGTGAGGATTTCTTCAAATGTCTTGAAGGCCTCGATATTAAACTTGATGAGTTCTCCCAACAGGTCGAAACTGCTCTGTAGGATTTCTTTGTGTCTGATCTCGTGTTCCACAATATTGCTTGCTACATGCTGGAAAAATGTCAATGGCATGTGACAGGTTAAAATGTGAACCTAACCTAGTAAGATATCACAAGCAATACTTTCCTTCCTCTGTGGACTTTGATGGATTAACTATTAAGGTAGCCATGCACTATGGCTAAGATGTATATACACTGAGCAGTTCATGAAGTTTGAAAGAAATTGGCTAATTTCCTCATTCTACAATAAAAGTATCCTAAACTGCTGAACATCAGACCAGATAATAGCCTATCAGAACGACATAGAGAGAGAAACAAATTTTCTATTAATAGTGACATTGACTTTGATATCTGAATTTCAGGGGAGGAATCAGCCAAACAGAACTCAAAATATGTAAACTTGTCTTCTATATAAAGTAACAGTGATTTAAGTCTATGAACAACAGACATGGAAATATCTTAACCAAGCACTTTCAATAAGGAAATGCTGAAAAAGATCGTCTGAACTTAAGATTAATGGTGTGGGATGGACAGTCAGATACAGTAGCTGAAATATCCTTACAAACCAATATTATTTTGGTTCACAAATGAGCAGAGTGTATCCCAACTTCTATGTTCATGCTACTGTGTCCTTGTTTTGGACTAATTATGTGCAGGTAACATCAAATAAAATAAGGACTTTTGATGTTATCAGCATACCAAAACACTCACCTGCAGCAGCCCTCTTCGCATTAAGAAGACTTGATCACAGTAAGATGTGTTTCCTCGTAGGTAACTTTCCACTGCTCTGGCCAGCCAGAATCTTCAAATGCAAAATCATAACATCCAATTATTGTCACAAAGAAACCTACCTAGACATAACGAAACCTACCTAGACACAAAGATGGCTTTGTACACTCTCTGAGTCCTAACCTTACTTTTCTACAGATGTTTCCTCTCTGATAAATTTTCATACAAAGGTCTCAACATTCACTACATGGTATATACAATACCATACTCTCAAAGGTTTTGCACAATGAATGACTTCAAAAATTTGAAGTCTCAATGAAATGCATTTATAATGCATATACTGTGAACATCCTTAATTTTGTGCATAAATTTACACATCCACAATAACAACTGTATAAACATCATATGGAACCTGCAATGAGCGTGATTATACCACAAAAACTGTGACAATAAAATAACTGCAAAAATATTTATGTTTATACTATTCTAATTAGTTATAACAATTTACAAACTTCTACAGACAAATAATGTTTTGAACACGAAAGACATTGCATAGGACATGAGAGAATGTTGCCTACCTGAATGTGGAGGTTGTAGGTTCTTTCTTCATCACTTCTACTATCTTTGTCAAAAGACCTTTACTGCCTTTACACATCAATTGTCTGGGGAAAAAGGAAAAAGGTTATCTTTTATTGACCTATATATAGATATTGTCCTCAAAAATCTCAAAACATCAAGTTCATTTCCTTAAATATCCATAATATTGTCCTCAAAAATCACAAAACTATCAATTGTCTGGAAACATCACAAAACCAAAACTTGTAATATCTACATATCACTCCCCCCTTCCCTCTCCTCCTACCTCAATCTAGTCAACTTAGAATTTAACAAATCAACTATGGTAGGGTTTAATCAAAAGAAAGTTTAATCAGAAGAAAATTTGTCTGTAATTAAAGTACTTACCTATTTACATTTTCTAAACTACCTAACGCCAAAGAACCAGCTTTCACTGCAAAGAGAAAAACAACACTTGTTAAACAGAATATGAAATTAATGACACTGCAAAAATACATACAAAATTTTGATCAGGAAATCATTTTTGTTTTACTTTCTAGGCCATGAAATCTTTACAAAGGGGAATTATTCTGTAACATCTTGCTTTTGTATGATTTATATATCACACTTCAATATCCTAGTTTGAACAGAGGCTTAGGACACAAAATTTTCAAAAAGGGCAATAACTGTAATTAAGGCATTGAGAACCCTAACATTGGTACACTGCAAATTGCCTTTGTACAATCAACATGTGCATCAACTTCCATTATCTTTGCTTAACTGTTCAAGTTTTGCTCTTGGCAACAAATTTTTAACAAAGGGCAATAACGCTGTAAGTGAGGGATTAAGGACCCTGAATTTTGTACACTGCACATTGTATTAGAAAGATCAATGTATTCGCTAAGTTTCATTATCTAAGTTTAAATGCAGGCAAATTGAAGTTGTGCTCTAAACACTTTATTTCACCAAAGGGCAATAACTCTGTAATTAAAGGGTTGCAAGCCTTGTATTTTATACACTGCAAATTATTTTAGTATGGTCAATGTATACACTAAGTCTAATTATCCTAGTTTAATTGCAAGCATAGTTATGCTCTGGACCCAAATTTTAACAAAGGGCAGTAATTCTGTAATTCAGAGGTCAAGGGCACTGAATTTGGTACACTGCACATCCGTTTAGTGTGACCAGTGTATATACCAAGCTTCATTGTCATTGCTTAACTGTGGGCAAAGTTATGATAAGCTTTTTTCTAACTCATGATATTTTATCTTGAGCCATTATGTGGAGATCAACCTTCAAATTATCAAGGATATCCTGAAATATCACATAATACTTTTCCAGAATTTTTCAATGATTTTTGCGAGATCCTACTTACAATTTATTCTTTTCACTTCATTGAGTTCATTCTTTGATAACAACAGGTGCTTGTAACTGGAAAATAAAATGGTATTTATAAATATTTGTTCCAGGAGAAAGCACAAAGGCTTAAATGTGTGATGGAAAGACAGCAGAAGCATATATAACTTAGTAAAATTCTATACAGACTTCACTTTAATAAACTTACTATATAAGAACACTATTACAGGTACAAAGGATATATAAACTCAAGCATTTCCTTAAAAGAAAGGTGTTGTATCAACAATGTATCAAGAAAGGTGAGGTATCAAATGATCCATCAAAGTTAAAATGCATATATCTGTATCAGTCTTTCAGAATTCACAAAAGTTTTGCTTAATTTTTCATTACTTACTCAGAATGGTCACAAAAACTGTGTACAAGTCTCAAAAACTGAATTTTCAACGCCACTTCCTGTCAAAGCAAAATGTATGAAGTTAAAAGAGTCATCATATCATAAAATGATTCATATCCAGCGTCAAAAAGAAAAAGCCATCTGCAATTTTTTTTCACAGTATTAAGAAAATTGTATTGAATTCTCTTCACAATAAGATTTGTGTAATTTTCCTTTTGAGAAATATTTGCTGAATTAAGTTTCAAATGAGTTATCAGATTTAGTTAAGACCATTTTAGATGAAGAAATAGAAAATACATACTGGACTACATTCACAGGCAGCATTATGACCTCGTAATCTATGTCGAGTACTGTGTCTGCTGCAAAAACAAATGGAAACATCTTCACCATTCTCAAAATACAGACTAAGGTAAGAAATTCAATATTCCACTCCAGTGACTATCATTTCAATTCACCAATTTTCTTCTCAAAATAAGACAAGTAAAATATTACTTTCTACTAATTCTTCTATAAAGGACTAAATATGGCTGACATGTGTTTACCCTTCTTAACCAATAAAAATAGGTAATTATTGGTTAATTATTTGAGAATGCCAGTTTTAAAGGCTGCTTCCTTCAAACTAAAGGCTGTCCTATAAAAATACGCCAGAGTCAGAAATCTGTTAGTAATCAGTTCATATTGTCTTAGAATCTCACATAACAGAAGATCACACAGATATTGAATATTCGTCAACAATTATCACGGAAGTTGTAAATATCCTAATAATCCAAACAGATATTGAATGTTTTCATTTACAATCCAAAATTCAAATAAAACAAAATGTAAAATCTCTCATGATAAACAATATTGCTACTTACACTTGACATTTCCAGATAAACTGGTCGAAAAGCTCACTCAGACCTGGTGCTAACTTTAGTTCTGCAAGTTTTCTTTGTACCTGTAACAGATATGTACATGCTGGATTGAAAGAAGGTATAATGATAATTCAGAATGCAGAAACATAATTTGTAATTATATATATAATGTTGCTATATGAACTTATATTCTTTAATACACAAGATGCCAGAGGACTCTTGGTGCCTACCATTCTTTGATCTTTATTTTTTCATTAAAAATTGTAACTTTTACCCTCCTTTTCTCTTCTCTCCTCTGTTTTTGCTCTTAATAATTCAAAATTTGAACAATCCTTTGCAGAAAACATGATAATAATCTTCAACTACCAAATCCAAAATGGCCACCTGCTGGACATTTTTATTTTCCTTGATCATTTCCAAGATTAAACACCATAACTAGTGACCATACGGAACCTAAAAATGATGTATGTTAAAGTTCCATCCAGTACTTCTCAAGAAACAGCGATAACAAACTTTCTTTCTCAAAATTCAAGTTGACCGAATGTTCGCTAGACAAGCACAACTAGGGACAGATGGAAGCCTTCATATGAAATCAGAGAGAGACTCATCATGAACTTACAATAGTCATTGTAAAAATTCAAGATGGTCACCTGTCAGCTTCTTTGTTTTTCTGATCAGACCCACATGTGAAATTGGATCAAGATCCATCAAGTACTGCTCTAGATATAGCAATAATAAAAATTGTCTGCAGACAGACAACGTACAATGGATGCAGAAAAACTTGAATAGCCCATCTCATGATGGTTGGCTAAAATGGAAAATAAATTAACTTTTTCTAATGACCTCTTCTTTGTTTGTTGACTGGGTTTATTTGCCCTTGAACAGATTCTGAGGCTATTGCTACCTCTTTCAGCAACATGCTCAGCATCAAGAGCCATTGGGATGAAGTGCCCTTCCCAAGGCAAAACTGAAGCAGCATAGACTGGTTACTTTCTCATCTTTTTAAGAAATACAAACTGCCTCTGATACAGAGCGTTGAACAAGACACCTTAGATTTCACCTAAGGTTACGTAAAGCAATGCTTTATTGATTAAGCTATTATGACCCCCTCTCCAAAGACCCTATCACTCATCAAATTAAGAAAAGAAACAGTCAAAAGAATCAAAAATGATCTCATGAATTCTTAAACAACAACGTGGCTTTTGGTACTTTTCTGAACAACTCATAAAACATGCTAAGGAATGATATCATTCAACAATCATACAAAAGTTCCAGCCATGAATTCAACAAACCTTTTTACGATGTTTGCCAAGTAGAAAGAGACCCAGTACATAAACAACCTCCACTCGTTGTACCAACTCCTCTGTAATTTTCAGGCCCTGCTGTATATTCATTGGACCACCAGCGGATGTCGGCTCCGAAATACCTACAAGCAAGAAATATATTGTAGTTGTTATACAAGAGTACAAATTCACCTACAAGAATTTTGTGTCAATTTCTCAAAATGACCTTTAACTGTTACAGCAAGTTTAAAATCTGAAGTCCTAACCTGAATACTATATTTTTCCTAAATAGGTCCACAAAGTCCTCACATTGCTGCTGACTCAGGGGTGGGTTTATAACAGACGCTTATCACCAAACATTAACTTTTAAAATATTGTTGGATAAATATGAGTGCATCCATTTTAGGAAATATACTGTAATCTCCTGATATCACTCAGGGTGTTTGCAGCAACATCCAATCATTGAAAATGAGCAACCCCGAATGTTTTAGAATTGAAAATGATGAATTTTAAAATGGGGACAGAGTAAAACACACTATTGAAGAACTTGAAACCAAGGACTATTCCAACCAAACTACTATCCCATCTCAAGACTCAAGGGTTTAACTTCTAATTTGCTTATAAGTAATCGGTAGAAAACTGAAGAGAAGTCATTTGCTTAGAATTCTGGAGTTAGGTAATGTTCTACAGGAATAGCCTTTATCTTCATGGCAAAGTAAACTTTTAATAAGCATATAGCATTATCAAGTTTACGATTATTTTCAAACAACATATACATATAAGCACATTAACTACCAATAATGACAAAACAGTATAAAAACTGATATTGTAGTTTTATTACCACCCTAAAACTTCTATTTTTTAAGTTTCTGTTCCATACCTCCAATAAAGTCCTCCAGATCGTCCATGGCTGGTGTGTCATACATCTCTTCAGCCATCTGGTTCTCGATCCACTCCATCCAACAATCAAGCTCACTAACCATACCACGATATCGTGGAGTGTCTGAAACACAAGGTTGTTTGGGCTTTAACATCTTACACAGATTGAGTTATATTAGCATTAACAAATAGAGGTCTCTGAACCTTAAATTTCTTTTTTACATTGTGGAATGTCAAATTTTTTCTAAACAACCATATCAGTCATTAAATAGCAGTAAGGCACAATGCATCACACATTTCCGACGAAAAAAATCAAACAAGGAATCAATAAACAAGCACTTCTTTTTCAAGGAAATGTACAATTATTATCACAGCTTATAACGATTACACTGAAAATTCCTTAAATGTTCATTATTGTTACTTACAATCTTTGGCTACAGCTAAATTCACCAGTCTCGGTAAAAGGTCTGGTATTGCAAGCAACAACTCTGAGGACAAAAAAAATACAAAGGGAGATTAAAGTCAAGATGGCAAACCAAAGCAATCAGGGAAAATATACCCTTACATCAGACCATGGTTAAAAATACGGAGAAAATGTCAGGCATGATACTTCAGCTCAAGTGCTATTGTAATATCTGACAATTCAGTTTATCCATCCAAATTTTGTGTAGGGTACAAATGAGCTAAGAGCAGAGGAGAGAGTAGTGTAGTCACCTTACTGGTTTCAACTAGGAATTCCCTTAGCCTTTTGTTGAGGCATCCACCTTAAAAACATGCAACATGCTTTTTACCTGTTACATAGATCACAAATTCCTTTAAAATTACCTTGGTTTATGTCTCGTATATTAACAAATCCTCGACTTCTTTTCTGTTTATTTTGTTGAAACACTGCAGAAAAGAAAAATTAAAACTGAAGACAAGCATGTAAAACAATACTAGATTTTCTATAGCAATGACAGAGGCAGTGGTCTTGTTGGTATAAAAACGTACATAATTCTTTTTAAGAGCAAAAGTAATATTTTCCAGATATATAAATAACTATATATAGATTTCAATATCAAAGCTTTTCTCCTAATTGTAGGCATTTTTTTTTGCCAAGAAATTCAATATTTATCTTGCAAAAAAGCCCCAGAGGAAACCATAACTACCTACTCAAAGGGAGGGATAGGCTTATTGGTAGGGCAAAGACACAATATTTATTGACAACTGCAATAGATATGGACAGGCTGATTACCAGATGCTGGACTTATTTCTGATAGAAATATGATAAAATCTTTGTTTTCATGACCAAACATCTTGAACATATTGATACAGATTTATCTAAACATTAATAGAAACTTACAGGAGGATTTGTTTTCATATATGTCAAGGTCGGATATGGCAACAGCAAGGATTCTACAGAAGTTAGCTAGCTGGTGATCCTCTAGAGTACTGATCAAGCCCCGCAGGTTATCTGAAAACAACAGAGTTCATAAGTGTCACCAAAAATTATGAATGGCATAAAATAGTAGTATTTATTTGCATAAAAGTAGGGTGATTTGAGTGAAAATGACCAACATCACTTTATTTACAAGTGATATAATTTTTTTTTAGTCATAAACAATGTACAGTGTATGTTTCTGTTGTACTAAAAGTGTTTGAAACAAGAAGTTGGTTTTAAAAAAGTAGGCTTTAAAAATGCCTGGTTGAGAGTTGATGAATTACATGTTACTTCTGCCAACCACCTTTACATGTGAACTATGTATTCAAGTGCTAAAGTGTCTCATTTCTATTTTTCAAATATTTGTTAACATTAAGAAGATGTTCCAACCTGACCAATTTCGAAGTATAACCTGCAAACTACATGAAAACGTACTGATAGTTTAATGACCCAAAATTTTATCTAGAAGTCAGAAAAAGAAATCAATTTTGTTTTGCAAATGGAGTCCTTGAACCTAACAGAGAAGTATGAGACTGACTGTGTAGCATAATTTTTTTTTTATATACTTCTTATGTACAACTATGAATCCAGTACACTGAAAATTAAGATGACTTGTGGTGTTCGTAATTAAAGTCATGAGACAAAATCTAAATGAGTTGGTGAGCTTTGAGGGGAGTAGCTAGTTTTTCTGTGGTTTAAAATTAATGTAAAGTAATCATTCTTTACTTATGCATGAAAGTCCACAGAGAAAACACTGGCTATACTTACTGATTCTGTGAAGGTCGAGGACCTCCCGACGTGACTGGAGCATGTCCTCCACTAGTTGGCATGAGTTGATGAAGGTTTTCTGGTGAGCCAGCAGTGTGAACACATAATTGAGTACATCATCACTGGCCATTAGTTGAGCAGTCACCTTATCGCCAATACACTGATGTAAAGACATATAAAAACATATGTTTAAACATGCAGAAATTTGATTACATTATTTTTGTAGGGAATGCAAAGGTAAATGAAACCTGTGGGACTATGACTCAATGTCACCAAAAATTATGGGACATTTTTGGAATAAGCAATGGGCAAATGCATGGAAGCAACAACAATAACACAGAATTGTCAGAACAAACTTCAATCAGAACATTCCTTCAATCAGAAATTCTAATGTAATGTCGAAATGTTGCCCAAAATATTTCTTTATACAATCTAGAGTCCTAGGGTAGAAGAGTGTTTTACTGGAATTGCCCAAAGAACATGTATTCTCTCTGTGACCCTCCCTCTGGAACCACTCCTTTTCAGAGATTTGGTTTGCAAGCACTGAACTTGAAGACCTATCAGAATTGTAACCTTTGAAATTACAACCCTGATCATGGCTGCCTATGTTTGTTGTGACCTCACAATTACTGTCTTGACCTTGATCACTTTGATACTATTGTTTCGACCTTTAAGAGTGACCTTGACATTAACCTGAAGACCTATTGATGCTGTTACCTCGAACGTTTGTCATTACTTTAGTCACCTTCTGTTGTAACCTTGATATCATGACCATGCCAACTTACCGTAGTTGTGACCTTGGTGAGGATCTCTAGCACTAGGCTTTTCACCCTTAGCAACAGCTCAGATTCTGGGAATCCAACTGTAAACACAGATCACAATGATATTTGCATCAATACAGATAATAAGTTTAAATCTCAGACCAGAGCAATTGTAGCCTGGCAAAAATAATAATTTAATCTGTTTCTTATCTCTACCTGCAATTCTTAAAATGTCTAACAATAGGCCATTTTATTTTAATACTATTTTCTGAAGTATGACTACTATATTGAAAATCAATTTTACCTTTGACTTTCCTTCCAACCTTCGGAAAGACAGTGTTAAACATGAGGATGCGTAGAAGTACCTAAAGAAAACAAGCACAATGATACAGAAACATCAAGTCATGTAGCAAAACCTAATGTTATTGGAATAGAGATAAAGTATGACAACAAGACATATATTGATGTTGGTTTCATGTTATGTTATAAATACTCAGTAAGCACATTCAATACACTGTAGTAAGAGTTAACACACAGAAAACCTTATTATTTTGGTCAAAATATAAGAACTCGTTTATATAATTACCTCCACTCCACCATGTTCATAAAACTGTGTGGCATACTTGTTTTGTTCCTCATCCAGAGATGCCTCATCCTGACTTCTTCGGGGTTCAAAGTTCATCAAGTTCCCCAGTAGAGTCTGAATTCAATAACAAAGTAGGTCAATAGACAATACACTCATTAGCATAATGGGAATTCTTTCCAAACAAACATAAGAACTATCCTTTCTTTTAGAAAACATGATTCCAATTCATTCAAACTCCTTTTAGAAAATCATATTGTAAACAAACTTTCTTCTGCAACTCAACAAGTTTGTGATGATAAACTTTCAAGAGATAGACGGTATTACTGTGTAATTTGTTATTTTTCAGAGTTTCTATTTTTGAATACTTTCAAAGATGGAGAAAAATCAGGAAAATAAAAATTATCCTTTACAAAATGTAGAAAAATCCTTCATCTGTTCATAGATTTCATAAAAAATACATCCTTTCTATTCCATGAGTGGTTTAATGAAATAACAATTGTACAGTACATGTATATTCATATCACAAAGTCATTATCTTCATATGAAATAATAGGACTAACATATAAATAATAATACTAAGAGACAATGAACTTGTGAAATAAAAGTTTTTTTTAAACATACTGTAATTTTTATCATATACAGCTGAAATTTGTTGTCTTGAAATTGCTCTAGTAAAAATTCTGTCCATGTCAAATTAATTTCTATTTTTTTCCCTTCTTCATTATTTTAATTTGGATGACATGGAATTCACAAAGTCAAAATTTCCTTTAATTGTAAAACAAGTGAAAAGTCATTTGTGGTCTCAATATTATGTTCTTTTCAAAACATCAGCATGTCTGTGCATAACACACGGCTTAACATACATCATACCCGTCCATATCATACCTACTGTTAACCTCTGACAAATAATTACCAGCTAGATTATCAAATTAAAATATGGCTTTTTAAGTAGTGTCAATGCACTGCAGCAGTGACTTACCTGCACTGTGTACACAAGACAAGAAAACAAATTATGTTTTATAATCACTGTAATAGACCAGAAACGTGTGTATAATAGACTTGGTTATGTGCATCTTTATGGAGCAATAAATACGAAAGTGCTTTCAGGGTCGGTAATAAACTTAAAGTTGACGTCTGTAAAATATTTTGAATGCTTTCATTTCCTACTTTTATTCTATTAAAGTCATGTTAATATGTTTGCTAACTTAAAACATTGTTTCCAATAGCATATCAAAGGTATTTTTTTGTTTTGTATTTTACATTCCGTAAAAACGTACAACATATAAGGGGAGTGTACATGTTTGCAAGATGAAACGAAGCGAGTAGTGTATTGCTAATATTATTACATATTGTGTTATTTCAATAAATAAACAAACCAGAAAAGGCAGACATAAATTTGGTTCTGTTTATTTACAGCCCCTTGAAACAACAGATTAATTTATCCTGTTTGAAGCATGGAATATTTTCCTATGGTAGCTGTGCTACTGTAAACAATAGTCAACCCCAGTAAACTGATGCTGTCATCCTTGTTCGGATGCTCTGAGTCAATTCGGATGCTCTGAGTCAAATTTTGACTAAGTTAAAACATTTTCCATGGTCCCTTAGATTTCCAGATAAGCTTTGACTATTGTTACTTTCATTATTTGCTATCAATACATGATGTAGGTATTAAAATACACTTAAATATTTATGGTCTTCATTCATCAATTGTCATCAGAACGAAATAAAAAGTATACTAAACAACAGACATTGAAAGTTTGCCATGATACCATCAAGTAATATTCAACAATTTACAGGTGACTCTGAACTGTTTTCCATCAACAATGTCTAAATCTTTTGCATGTATAACATATTTTACTGCAAATAAGGCCCCTCCCCAGAGACAAAAATAATGCTCATAATGTTATGAAACAATAAACAGAAAACAGAAAAAGTATTCAAGTTTAAAACCATTTTGATTTCTACTCATGAAAAATTACGACAATAAAGCTGGGCCCAACCTATGACATGAAATTTATTCCCAGGCTCGAACTCGTAAAAATTTATTCCCAGACTCAAACTCATAAATTTCGATCAGAAGCCAGAAAGTTAAAATATGTGCTTATTTCCTATGTCTGACTCACAACACGAAAGTAGAATATTTCTGATTGGTTGCATTCAATCTTCTTGGCAGTTTACCTTAATAAAGGTGAAAGATAAAAGAGAACTTGTTTGAAAGAAAGAGAAAAATCTTCACAATAATGGTGACAGACTTGAAAGTCACTTGAGATACTATATGATTTAGTTTCGCCACCGGCGATACCTATGATGATAAAGGATTAGAATTGTTTACAACGAAGGATGATGAGGTGAAGTACTTAGAGGCAATGTTATAAACAATAGCTTGGTTAGTAGCTTTCATCTCAGCAAAGACTGGATATGTCCGACCTTGTGAACATGTTACAATGTAAATTTTCACAGGAAGGCTACAAACTGTAAATCGTTTGACAAGTTTAGAGGTGAGATAATTCTTCCTACTGATATTGAATCTATTTAGTTTGATCATGATCCTAGAATATATCAATATTATTGAAAGTTGCTGTTAATACTATATTCAATGAATGGCTGAAGAAACAGCCTTGAAATGTTGGATTCATTGACACATCAAGCTACAAAAACCCTCTTACAATTGACAGATCACTTGTTCTTGAGCAAACATATGAACTCTAGTGTTTCATCACAAAATTTTAAAAGGAGTGATACTCTGACATTATAATAATTTTAAAAAACATTCAGAATCTGCCTTATGAGCTACTCTTTCTACACTACTTCTAATTTCATGATACATTTTTATTTTGATTCTAACAAGAGTAGCTAATAAGAAGACTGCGAAATAATAATGTACTTTTTTTAAGTAAATGAAATGCACAAGATTTCTAAGGAACTGCCATATCCAATGCCAACTATTGACCCTGTGTCACCTGACTATTACCTAAAAGTTGTTTTATTTTTGGACGATGGACAATTTGAACAACACCTTTGTACTCTTGAAGATATCAGCCCCAAGATGATGGCGATATTCAAAATGATAAATATGGTCTCACCTTGAGATTTTCCCAACACAGGTCATCTTCTGCATCTAAGCGGACACTGAAATGATCAAGCTCTGCTATCAGTTCTGGAATTCCACTTCCATCACTTAGGTCTTCAACAATGTGTTCAGGTAGCTGCAAACAAATCAATAACAATATGTTACAAAATGTTAAGACAGAACTCAAAGCTCTAGATTTTTATTTCAATGACCAAAGGATTGATGTAATTGTAGAACAAACATTCTGTACAAGAATTTTCATGCTCTCCAAATTGCAATTTTTGCAGAGGTTAAAATAACAATAATTTTCTTTAACAATACAAATCACACATAAATATCATACATGTAAGACAATATTAAGACGAGACTGATATTTCTTTTTTTATGATTCAAGAATTTGTTAAGAAATTTCTCCTATTTAAGGATTTCCTGTTAAGTTTTGTAATTTGCTGTTCTTCACTAATTAAGGCAACAGTAGTCATCAAAATATATGAAAGTATGTTGTTCATGAAATGTCTATCTGATGTATATTTGTACTTATCCAAATTTGAAGGGAAATTATCAAGCAGTAGTTGTCTGCTAGGCTGGTACCACCAAAATTAATTTGTAATTAGTAAAAACATTGAAACACTTGTCTGATGGGACAAGTGAGAAATATTGTCTTCATGTTATTTATCTGTATTCTGAAACACTTTCGATACTCACAGTAAAAAAGTGAAAACTCTGTTTATACCACAGTGAATGTATACAATGAGAATAACAGAAGTATACTCTATAAAGAAAGTACAGTGCTACTTCCCCAAACTTATCTTTCTTAAAATTGATTAACTTCTTAAAACGGAACAAATTGTGATGTACAGAATAACATTCTCTTTATTATAGTAATAAAAACTATGGCTGTAACCAGTACTCCAGTACCTGTATATGGGTCAGGTTTTAGAAAAAACTGGGTCCAAATTGTGTACCCAGGTACCTGTCAAAATAGGAAACAATCTGTCTTCTGTCTGTGTTTACATTTCAGATTATTAAAGAAATACATCTCACTCATTTGTTCTGTTTTCATTCACCAAGGATGACAAGTTATCTGTTTGTTACATTTCCACATTAAACATTGTTGTACATGACCGAAATTTCGTTTTTGGGAACCATCAAACACCTGTGTATACACAGCTGACTTGTGTACTGTACCCTGTTACCATGGATAACATATTTCATTATAATGTCAGATAAAAGTCAGGTACCCAGGTACATGTCAGGTATTAAAATTTGGGTATGTGGTCCAAAAATTTTGAACCCCTGACAGCCCTGATAAAAACCTTCCAAATACTGATCCCTTTCAATTCCTAATACCAAACTGATTTTGTGTCCAAAACGATTGAAATATACTGAAAATCACTTCAGAAAAACGACTTAACCTGAACAATCAAGACACCAAGTTCTGAAGGACAGACCACAAAATCAACACCTGTGGTGACCGTTGCAAGTTTTATGCCCCAGGTGTGTATACCTGTCACCGGTAGGCTTTGTATACAATATCTACCCTGATCAGTAGGATTATAATTTATAGCTCCAATGACAAATTGAAACTATATAAATGAGTGTTGTTTCACTGAAGCAAGAAACGGTTACAGACAATATGAAAATGAGGACTGATGCAAAGTAAGAAAGCCACACTTTCACATCTAAATTCATGAGTTACATGAATCAGGGTTTTCCATAATTTTGTTAGTAGTAGGCTGTGTAGTGAAAGTAGGAGGCTGGCCTGCCATGTACACATATTCATCAAATATATCGGTTGTTACACTTTTGAACAAGCCAACCATGCAACCAGGACTATGTCTGACTGTTTGTAACCTTATGTTTCCTCCGACATTACCGGGCAATGTACAGGTTCATAAAACCACGTATAGATTACAAGTATCACTGTTTTTTTCCACTTATACTTTCACTTTTCACAAATATTTTTACACTATAAAACTTTTTTCTCTGTATTCAGTTGGACTGGTTGGTTAATGTTATGTACAGAATCATCCTCGGTGGTGCGTTTGAAATAAAAAGACATACAAAGTGAATTTGTAAGGCACTGCATCTGCACGTTTGCAATGCCATGACAGTTCAGTAGGTGTGATGTATTCTGGTATATGTAGACATTACAAAACAAATCAGAAAAGCTCCATGGTTAAAGTTCAATATCAGTAATGTACTGCAATATGTTGTGATTACAAATTTTTTCCTCTATGCATGTTGAACAAATATTTAAAAATATCATTTAAAATTCAAAGTGATCAGTTGGGACAAGTAATTATCTCTTTCCGACAAGTGGATTTACCTGTAACTGTAATTAAAAATTGACAAATTGCTGTTTATTTATACCAGTTTCTAGAGATACTTCCGTTGTTTCATTAAAATTAATTGAGCCTGTAAACTTTAATTGGACATGTAAATTCTGGAGTCCATTAGCCAAAAGGGTCTGCAGATGCTAAACTTGTCATGCCAACTGCTATATCTATGCATGATCCGTTTTGAATGCTGTTTCTTGTTATTTCCTTTGGAGTATTTTTACTTATAAAGAAAGTAAACTATATTTTGACAATTTTGATTTTACACTGATGAATTTGCCTTCTAAAATGTCTTTCCGTTTATATATATTTTTCAACATTTTATTTTCCTTTCTGATGGTTAAACTTTAATAATCAGTAACATTTTAAGGCGTCCAGTACAGCGATTACAAAATTTTGATAAGTTCCAATACTATGGGCTCAAAATTAAGAGTTCCACTGGAAAAATATTGATGGAAAACTCAAAAGTCCGCGACCAAAAAATCACTGATAAATGACAAAACGAATATGTCAAAACTGTATTGAATGTTCAATGATGAAAAAGTACATACATGTGAAGTGTAGGCCTATAGAGGATCATCAATATTAGGGAGGTCGGCGACGGTCATTTACAGGCTTATTACGTTCTGTTGGAGCAAAAAACCCCATTTTTTCGGGTTTTTCACACTAAAATTAAAATATCAAATAAGCGTAGTTGGGGGATAGAAATATATCAAAATAAAGTTTAAGACTTCTATTTTCTTATTTTGGTAATTATTTTGTAATAAGATATAAATTCCTACCATTGCATGGAGTTCGAAGTGAAGTCGTTTCCAAAAATTCGGCCGCCATGTTGATTTATGTGTCAACAAGTGTGCCAAGTTCAGAATTAAATCCGCTGGCTATTACTGGACCAATTTTTACCATTAATGGCTTAAAATTTAGGAAATATAGTCTAGTTTTTGAAACTGAGTGATCTCTTTTGAAAAAGTATAGGGATCACACTGTAAAAAATATAAATTTGCAAAACAGTGTTTTTTTACCGTGATATCACTTCGCCGCGAACAGGGATCACTCGGATTATGGTAGCCTGGACCTTCATCTAGCGATTGGTAACCAAGGTTTCAACAAAATAACAAGAGCAGCCAGCGGAAATCATTGGATATTTGAATGACTTTTGCCACAATGTTTTGTTCGTATGAGTTATCGAACTTTGCTGCTGCTGCAGGCCGGGTGCAAATCCTCCCGACCCGGTAAACAAAATTGACCAATGGGACATCAGTATGTCCATTCGGAACATTTTGGGGTTTTTATGTTAAATATCAAAGGAAACATTCGATTTTCTTTAGGATTTATATAAAAGTATGTTTTAGAACAAAAGAAAAAACGAGGGGGGGGGGGGGGGGGGGGGAATAGTTGCTGTGGTTAAGAAAATATGTTTGGGGGTATAACAAAAACATTTTCTGAACACAGAACCATACTTTACTTTTCTTAATCTTTTAAGTCACAAATACAAATTATTTTCCATGAAATAAATGAATGAACATTTGATGAGAAAACAATTTTCTCTGTAAAATATCATGATTATACTCCCTCTCAACTAGCCCATTCTTCTTAACTCAGAAAGTTGATTTTGGTCTATATCTTGGTTGTTAAATTCCTTCTGAATGTAAGAACTGCCCTTCTTTATCAATGCAAGGGGGTATTGTTGAAGTGATAGAAAGTTGTTTTATTTATTTTGTTGAAATTCTTTATATTTTTAATTGTTTTGCTAATTTATGACACTTTTTAAAATCTCTTTTATTTATTTAAGTTTTATTTTACCTTATTTTGGTTTCTTTTTAAGTTGTCAAATTTTTCAGAGGAAGAATAATAATTGTGATTTATTTAATTTTTAATCTAAATAAATCTTTTTCTAAAAAAAAAAATTATTTTGATTTATTTTCTTTTTAGTTTTTTTACACGCTCTGATATACTGATTTTCATTTTATTTTTGGTAAGTGTGATAAGTTTTATTTACAATCCAATACACTTTTTTATTTGCAGTTTGATAAGTATGTGATGATTGTTTTTACTTTTTTTTCAATACTATCAATGAATTAATTAGATAACAATTTTTATGACCGTTAAATTTTAACATTGATGTTAAAAATAACTTATGCTAGATAATGACAGATTTACCTATTTTTTGTGCTTTTATCTTAATCTTAAGGATAAACTTATAAAGACAAGAATAACCGTGTTTCAACTCTTAAGGCTTATAAAAGGTGAACTAATATGAACAGGAACATTTTTTCTCAAATGATACTGTTTGTAGGAGTAAAAAAAAATTGGGGGGGGGGTTCACCTTCTGAGAATGTTTGATTTTGGGGTAGGGCTAGGTTTTTATAGAAATACTTGGTGCTGTTAATAGATAGAGGTACAAATATGTGCTAGTTGCATTCTACATATTTCTATCTTTAAAATGATACCTTATACACCATACAATAGTTTATATTCTTCTCGCATTTCATGATTAAACACAAATTTCAGGTTTTATCCAAAATTTTCAAAACGTAGAAAAACAACCTTAAATGTTGCAAAAAATTGTTGTTTTGAGTTAAAACTTGATCATTTGTATGTAGAAATAAGCATTCTTATATAAATTGTCATTTTATTACCACCTGGGAGTAGTTGAAGATCTTTTTGTCCTGAAAAAATGTTATTTTTCGTCTTTTCGGGGCTAAAAATATACCTCTTTGGCAGCTGTATTTTGGAGCTGTTGCTTTCAAAAAAATTTTTTAGGGGAAATATTACATATTTTCTGATAAAACATACAAAGATCAACAAGAAACACCATATAAAAAAAATTCCAGATTTTTTTTGAGCTTTCTGCATCAAAAAAGTCATTTTTTCTGAAATTTTCGATTTCGTCTCAAAAAGGGGCTGCGCAGGGTATTTGATATCAAAATATTAAAAAAAATAATGATCTTAAACCCTAACTGGAATTTTTTTTCAAGAAAATGCATTGTGATCTGTAAAAATAAGGAGATTTGGATAAATTGGGTGATTACTTTTTAAGATAAAGTTCTTCAAAAGTGGTAGTCTAGCAAAGAGGGGTGCCGACACATTTCTCAAAAAAACTAAGTCCAAACGAATAATTCCTCATGTTCAGCTGCCAATTTTTTTTTTATCTGTCCCCACCTAAACTAAGTAAATGTTTCTTTTTGAAGCTTAAGGGGAACTTGGCACCCTACAACAATCAGACAATACATATCATAACCACATTTTCAGATATAAGGCCTCAAACATGCCTCTTTTAGAGACTATTTGCTAAAAACAGAAAAAGGGTCGCTTTTCGAGGTACAAAAATTGATGTAACTTTTGAACCGCTCAACCGATTTCCAAAATTTTTGCACCAAAATTCCTCTTTCTTTGAGTTTTGTCCAAAAAACATGTTTTAAAATGTTTTCTAGGTGGTTCATTTTTTGAGCTGACCTCCCTATCAATATGTCATTAAACACAAAAGTAAACATAAGAAAATTTGTTTCAATGACAACGCATTTTCTAATTCTAAATTAAATTTCATCCAAAAAAGCGATTTCAACATATCTATAAAACAGAAATGTGATAACAAACCAAAATCATGCTCACAAATTCAACAGTAAAGAAATTCTATGCAGGGCGCATGGTAAATATAGCTAGGTCCTATGACAAATTGAAAATGGATACAACAATGTCAAGTAACCATCCCATTTTGGTGAGCTATTTTTCGTATTCAGAGGTCTTACTCACCTGGCTTATTCGTCTGTATGAATTTCCGGAATATTGCCATAGCTCATGAGCAAGGAAAACAGAGTTTTTGTTGACAGATTTGGCTATTTTTCTTCCAAGCATATTTCTTTCGATGTGATCTTTTCTGTGCTCGGCGGTAAAATTTTCATGCGCACATAATTTGCGCATTTCCGTAAAGTCGCTTCTATCATTATGCAAGAAAACATCATATCGCTTGGAACTTAAACGCAAAAAGGCGAAATTGATTTCATAAAATATAATTAATATTATCATCTCGAAAAGATATTTAGAAGAATCTTAGGTATTCATGCCTAGAATTGAACTGGTAAGTTCCGATTTTTATTTTAAACTATTTAAGCGACCGGGTACCGTGTTATTGTTGAACTAGGTTACCCTTGGAGAGAGGTCGGTGTAAAAAAGTGTATTTTAAAAAAATAATGAAAAATGTTTATTTACGGACAAGTAATCGAACAGTATTTAATCTTTATGAATGTCTCAGATGGAGTGTGTCTTCGGTAATTGCTTGCTTGTTTTCGAATTGGCAAACTGCCCGATAAAGGTTTTGACAGCTGAGCAGCAAACACAATTTTAATCTCACTGGCAGTAGTTATGTTGATAATTCAATTGTAAAATGATATTTTGATAACACTGACAAGGATGATATCATATAACTTATTCGAAGAAATGTATCACTTCATGTTCACTTTCACCTTGACTCCGTGATTCTAATGCTTGTGGAATACATTTATAATTATCATATGTGGAATAACCAGGATCTTAATTCTTGACTAGGTTAGCCATTGGAATGCTAACAATGTCTTATGAAAACCACATGGAGAATGAGCGAGATGTCACAAGCTGTCTTATAGATTATAGCGATGGAAGTAAGTATACTGACAGAAGTACATTTAAAACAAAGCTCAAATGTGATTGGACTGAAGGTGTTACTGGATGGCAGAACATTGTGCCATCACCACAGTATGTACCACATCATGTATCAAATGTGATCCGGAAAAGAAAATCTGATAAATTGCCAGAATGGCAACGTAGTGCAAATAGTGATCACTTTGCAGACATGCTTGGGGAAAACTCTAAAGCAGGTGTGCGTTGTGTCGGAGATGATTTCGAAAATTTTCCAATTCCTCCATGGAAAGCAAATGTTGAACAAGGAACTTTTCGTTATGTCCCTAACAATGGTTTTTATCGGACAATTAAATTCCTAACATTAGATGAGAGAAGAGAATGGTTCACAGTCACAAAGAAACAACCAGAAAAGGTTTCAATGAGCTGGCAGAACAAAAGATTTCAAAAGGAGTTGAAACGCCAACTCAGAAGAGAATTTTCAAATTATCAACATTATCGTCAGAGACAAAGTCCAAGTGTATCCATGCATGAATCTGTTGACACTGCTAATACTACAAGTGAAAATCCAACAGCAAGAAGTGAATCCCGCAGATCAAATCGGCGTATCAGAAGCACACATTCACAAAGCAGCTCATCGAGTCAGTTAGCTGAACCACAACAGAAGCCATCTGAATCTCCAATCAAGAGTGCCCCAGTCAGTAGCTATCTACAGAAGTCAACTAGTGACCTCTACATTGAAAATTTCACACACAGAATAACTGCTTTAGAGGAGGAGTTGAAGCGGGATTCCAGAATTGTACGAAAAAATCATGATGAACCTTCAGCTACAAAAAACAATTCAAAATCAAAGAATTATAGTGTGAAAGACTTAGCACAAAAACAACGTGAAAAAGACACAACACCGCGACAACCACCACCTTCTAAAGAAGTCATGTCAAAGGAATCATTTGTTATCAAACCTGTAGGTAACCGAGATCTCAAACCAATTGAGAAACCTGTCATGCAAAATACAAGTGGAGATGGGGACAAAACAACAGTTACTCAGCTCAAGTACACTAATAGTGCTTCTGTGAATGGAGATGGAACTGTAATGAATTTTCCAAATTTTCAAAATCAAGACAACATTGGTAGTGGTGAATTAGATAAGACTTTACATTCATATAAAGTAGCCATCGAAACAACAAAACAGTCGTTATTTCAAACATTGTCTGCAACGAAAATCAAGAGAAGAGCATCAGGGAAAGGGTTTACTTCACCTGCTACTATAGGTGCCTGTGAGAATATATCGTCAAATAATGATAACATTCCAGACAAAGTGGGAAAGAATGGCCATCCAAGAGGGCATGGCTCAATCACTCAAAAAGATGTCAAAGCACAAGATAAAAAAGGACCAATTGTAGGAATACTGCCAGAGATCTCTGGAAAGAGACTTGAAGTCCCCCCAACTGGTCATCGCTGGTTATAGTATCAGATCTTACTGTGATTCAAGTCAGTTTGTTGTAAGTGTCTATGTAAATAACAGATTTTGATTTATTTGTGAAAAAAATTTGGGTGCCTTTGTTTAAAGTGATTAAATGTTTATTATCATACAATTATCAAACATGCAATATATCCACCATCTTTGAAAATTCAGAATTGCAAATTTCAAACATTCCAATATTTGATACATGTACCTGGAGATGGAGCCTATACACAGTGCTTACATTTTATGGTAAAAGAACTAGATTCTTCTCTATAATCTGTTGTGAAATAATCTGAAAAATAATTTTGATTTTGTCTTTAGGAAACTGATACAGCTAATTGAAAGGAACATGCAACCAGACTTATTTTCATCAGCAAACAAAACAAGATGAAATCTCTTTAAGATAACAACCATGTTTACAGTATCACATATTAAACTTGGTTTAAAAGTAATTTCTTTTATTTTTTTTATTTTTTTTTCTGACTAGTCTATAGCACCATTTCCAAAATTTTGATTAGTATCATAACAAAGTGTTTCTGGAAGTTTGAGTAAGTCCCACAGGAAAAGCATGAATCCAGACTGAAATATTCGAGTCCCAAAAATTACTTGTTTACTTTATCATTTTGTTTCTTAAAGGAGCCAATGCCAACTCAAAATTGTTTCACAACATGTAATGATAAGGTGACTTTAATCATGAATCATATTGATTTATATTGTCTACAAACAATAAATGTATTGTCATTTAATGAATGAATGGTCAGTACAAGTTTTCTTGCTCATAGTTTATCAAATATGTTTGTTTTCTGACTTTGTTATGGTGTTCTGTTTATAATTTTTATTGTATCTTTTTGAAAATTAGATTAAATTTTATTTTTCTATACTTTTTCATATTTATTGTATGATCTTATATTTGCCATTAAAAAAACGTGTATACCACTCTTAAATAGTGACAAAAATCCATAATTTTAACATACAAGTTGTAAATGATGAAAACTGAGGGGATAATTTGAATGTTCATACATGTGAACATACCACATTGGTCTAATGGACACAACCCAATCTTTTTTCTTGGAAAGAGGTTAGTATAGGTGTGCTATGGGATATATAGCTTTGAAATAAATTTGTTACAGCACAATTTTCAGTCGTGACCCCTTACCACATACCAAGCCAATAAGTAATAGTTGCTGAAATTTTTTTTTTCTTTTTCAAATTTCAAATTGGATTTTTCTCTACCAAAGTCTCATTCCTCCACACATTTGGCGGTGAAATCTTTTCCAATGAATAATGTTACTTAAAGCATCAGTTTAATGTTTCTGTAAACATATACAGTATTGTATATATATAATACTTAGTTTTAGTATGGTATATACTATTTCCTGTGTCCCAGTAATATGAATCTCTTGGTAATAAATCTAGTCTTGTAACCTAATCTAAATAATGTTAATTATTCAGTAGAAACATTATGTACACATATGTAAAACAAGAAATTGATACCACATTTACATTTCATTTCCTGTTACATGTATGGCACTGCTCAATGAAATGGTATTATGATACTGCAATAATTTTTAAAAAAATATATACATATCAACATATGTGAAATATGTAGGTTTTGGAAATATTTCCATGTATCCAAATTATAGTATTCTTTCAGATCTATCTTATGAAAAAATACACAAAAATATGGAAACAGAAATTACATGCAACTGTAATATCAGTATCTCTTGTTGAAGGAATTGAGAATATATATAATGTATGTATATATTGACACCTATATACTGGTATTTATGTGTTGTTTTTGAAAGCAAGGAAAATGATATGTTTTTCCCTTAGTCAAAATTGTTAGTTTATCATTAATTTCAAATTTTCCAAGAGATTTATTTAATTGTTTTCATAGTTACTTCAGACTTCGCTCATAATCACTTTAAAGCCCTTAAATCAAGCATAGCATTTCATACCACAAAACACCCTTAACTTCTGGTTAAAATAATAAAATAAAAGACATTTTTTTATCATGGGTTATTTATCAATCTGATTAAAAGATGGCACATTGAACAATTTATGAATCAGAAATGTTAAAAAGAACTTGTTTTACCGTGAAAGCTTTACAGAAATAATAGCACAAACTCTTTTGTAAATATACATGTAAATGAATGAAAGAACAGGTTTTTTTTTCTAATGCACCATTCAGTATCAAACTATTACAAAGGTATGTGAGCAATGATATATGCAATCAAGACTTTGATATACATCCACAGATTTGGTTCCTTCTGATATTAATAGTGATACAAAATCATGCGTTGTGATATTCTCAAAAGTTTTTTTAACACAATTATGATGTATTTTTATAAAAAGTGTAAAACAATTCAAGCCGATTTGCATCTATTTCAGTAGACATTCCATAAGCTTTGTCATTTCGAACCTCACCTCCTCGATACTCAGGAGTTACAATCACTTTATCTCTCTGTACCCTTGAACATTTCCTGGCTAAATTGAAGTTAAGTAATTTGATTGGTCTAGTTAGTTGCAGGAGAAAAAAAACTAACCAATCACAGACAGAGATGCTCCTTTGAAGACTATAAAGGAGCTACAACACATTTCAAAGCCAGTAAGTACATCGGTATGCCTTTATGTTCATCAAAGGATCAAACTAGCCTTCTCATCTTATCCACAGGGTGTCACATATAGAACCTCCAATATTGGCAAGAAATGTTCCAGGGGTGCAGAGCGCAATAGTGAATGTAACACCTGAAGTATCAAGAATGCCAACCTCTTTACTTTGAGTCAAAGGCAATGTGCTGTCCCCTCGGAAAATTACCCTATTTATCTGTCAATAAGTTCAGGGAACCAACACATGGCTTTTAATTCAAATGCAGAGTTTCTTTTTTTTTCTACTGGACATTGAAATTGGTTGATAATGCTAGTGAGCAGCAAATTTATAGTGGGCTTATTACCAGACGTGGGGTTATTACTTGATTAAGATAGTACTGCACTATAGATGTGGTTAGTATTAACTGTGATACTAAGCTCAAGGACTGCATGATACTTATTCAGATTTTGGCACAGCTTTATTTTGAAATATTTCTTGCTTATAAAATTATTTTTACAAAATGTGGGTGCCTTAGATTGCCTTAGAATTAGATTTGAAAAAGCTTCTTAATCCATTGGTAGCAGCTTACTTTTCTGTATTGCAAATTTTTCGACAATAAAAGTTTGCAAATTTTTCAGTATCTAGCATTCATTTAGTACATCTTGTATTTGAAATTGTTAAAGAATGCTTTGATTTTTGTACAGGCTGTTAATTGGTTTTAAAGATTTGATAAATATGTACAAGTAACACTTCTTTTAGAAACATTTTTCAAAAAGACGGATAGATTTTCATATTTAGCAATGATATGGTTGGTTGGTTACAAGTTTTCGATCGTCATGACTCTTAGCAAGAATGTCATACCATCTATAGCTTGACTACTGATTGATGGGCTATACCATGTCTTGTTAATCAACATGTCTGATAGATTGAAAGGTGTTGAATGAATAAGATAGCTGGAGCATAATATATGACGGTCCCATCTTTTACTTTAAGTATCAATAAATTATGTTCTATCTTAATTTCAGAAATTGAAAATGAAATAAAATCAGCTATTTATATATAATATACTTTTAACACTATGTACTGTGTGCCAATTCTTAAAACCTTTTCATACACTTGATTCGTTTATTCTAATTTTAGGCAATACATGTATACATAGAAAATCATTCTAATCATTATTCAGCTGATTGACGAGCAGACTAATGTATATTAAATTTTGTTATTTCAAATTGAACATAAACGTGAACCATTTTAAAGGTATGATTAAAGAAAAATGGATATTAGTGTTATTAATTTATTTTTCAAGATTGTTGTACCAGCAATTTGTTTGCAATGATTAAATCTCACAATTTACAACAATTTTAATTTTCTTATTCAGTTGTGTCTTCATTAGAAATCCCTTTTTTATTCCTCTTTTTGATATTTTATTTAATATACAATTGTACCTCACATATTATGAATTGTTTACAGGGGTTTCTACCACTTATTCTATTTTCTCTACAGCCTTAATTGACTTTTTTTGTAATCAAACTGGTTGCTATGCACTTATATGTTGTATGCCTTGTTCCATAGCCAATCAGTGTATACATGTAAACATATCATACACACAACAGGACAGAGTGACAGAAGTTTATCATTAGCCTCAGTATAAGTATGGTGTACTGAAATTTATTTACTATTATTATTGAACAGACATTGTTATCTGGTAACGAATGATACTTGATTCTCTATCATTTGCTCTGTAATTTAATTTGGTTTGAAACAAGCATTTTCATTAGCCTTTTTTTGTTTGTTTGTTTTATTACCTCCATAACATAAAAGACAACAACAAGAATTGGCATCATGTTGTAACGTCACATTAGACTGCCCAAAGTAATGACACAAGAAATTATCAAAGAAAAATTACCATTATAAATGTCAAAAGTATTGCAAGCTGTGATTGAATTATAAGAATTAACTTGAATCATTGTCTTTGTTATTGATCCGAAATACAAAAGCAAAGTGTGCTTTCAACATTTCGTAGTTTGTTATGACACAATAGTATAAAACATACTTCAAGTTAATCTTTTGATATTGAGATAAGAAAAATATCACAAAGCTATTGTTTTATTTTTTTGTTTTTTTTTTTGTTTATTTTTTGTTGTTTTTTTCCTTGTAATTCTGCCCATCTCAAGGTGTTGCTGTAAAATCTTAAAAATACACTCAACTTTGATATTTCTATTTCTGCTATATTAATCCTATGCTAACTGCTGCAGGCAATCACTGCTTCATTGAAACAAATCAAAAGTGTCTGTGTCTTTACTTTCAAAACAAAAACAAACAAAAAATCCTTAAAAGCGACATATTTATTTATAGCTGTAATTTCTAATGGATAAGTTAGATATTTGATACAGAGAACAATTTTTGAAGTTTT